CCCCAGTGTGCTTATACCAACCAAAGTAACGGTTAAGACAGATTACATCAAACATATCCGTAATCAAGTCTCGGTTCACAGGATTGAAAGCCATATTAGCGAAGCAAATAGGTCGGCTGGGATCAAGTTCTCGAGTAAGTTTCACAAGGGGCTTGAAGTATTCCACAGCACCCACTTCGCCAGATGCTGGTTCGTTCGCAATCATCCATAGAACAACACAAGGGTGATTCTTATCCCGGGATATAAGATCCCGGAGAGCATTTTTGTGGGCCAGTTGGGTATGCTCGTTGATCGTGTCGGGGGAAAATGTGGGAGGGGCTTTGGTTCCATGAATACCAGCAACAATGGCCAGGTTTAACCCCACGGCTGCCGTCTCGTCGATCACCACGATGCCGTGACGGTCGGCATATTCCAGCACCTCTTCCGCGTATGGATAATGTGATGTGCGGAAAGAGTTTGCTCCAAGCCACTTCATGAGCTGAAAATCATGCACCATATACGCCGGATCATATCCTTTGCCACGGATCGCAGTGTCTTCATGTTTCCCAAATCCAGTGAAGTAAAATGGTTTCCCGTTGATCAAGAACTGCATGCCAGAAACCTCCACAGAGCGAATTCCGGTGGCGATAGTGTATGTATCAAGCAAATCCTTACGGCCATCGCCGCCAAGGAGCTCGACTTGAAGCTGGTACAGGTAGGCGGCGCCAGGTTGCCACAGATGAGCGGATTCCACTCGAATACGGCCTTGTGGCCCGCTGCTCTGGGCTACAAGTTGCCCATTCTCGTCGAGTAACGATAGGCGGAATTGGTTTTCGGGTATCATTCTGTTCGCTGTGACCCGATAATCAACGATACCACTTGTCTGAGAGGTGCTGGTGACAATTGTCACGTCCTGAATATGAACTTGTGGGACTGAATACAGCCATACCGATCGAGCAAGACCGGCATAGTTGTAAAAGTCATGCTGGTATTGCTGTTTGCGTTTCCCATTAGCCAGGGTCTCAACTTTCCCCGGTGGAATCGTAGTGTTGGTGAGAATATTGCTGACGGCGATTGTCAGGCAAAACTCCGCTCCCGCAGCCACGAGATGGCTTATATCCGTCTCAAATGGAGTATATCCACCGCTGTGTTCAGCCACTAGCTGGGAGTCCACGAAGACACGGCCATGATGCGTGGCTGCATCTACCCGGAGAAAGTACTGCTCCCCTGCCCACCCCCGGGGCACCCTCACAGAACGCTGGTAATAAACCCATCCCACATGGTCGCGGATTCTCGGATCGATGAAGATGTCGTTGTAGCTCGCTGGCACGGGAACTTGCAACTCCGGACTGAGAGGCTGAACCCAGGATGGATCTACTTGATCATCCCCGAGCGCAAAGTTCCAGATGCCATCCAAGGAGACAAGCTCACGGGTGGCTGTTGCCCGTGGTTTAAGCATCGAAAGGATTCAAGGCGCAGAAGGAGCAATATCTCAAGGACTGTAGACGGTCAAGAGGAAACGTCGTTGTTGGCAACGGCGAAAATAGTGGAAAATAGTGCGAAATCGTGCGATTGCCTTGCAATTAAATCAACCCTTCACGTACATGGCCGGCAATTGCATCGATCGGCTAATGAACAGGAACAGGATGGAAGTCGGATATGCCGAGAAGATACGGCTAGCCCGCCTAATTCTGACCAAAACAGAGCTATCCCCGCCTCCCTCGAGGCTCGGAAAGTCCGGCTTGAGATCCAAACTCCGTGGGGTTGATTACTGCCATTGGGAAGTGGTCGGCTATCGAAAATCTCAGTCAAATATGGGGTAATTGCCGATGTTTGCCTAATGAAGCTTACTCCCCCATGGGGTAGACCCCGGCTTTTGTGGTTATAAATACATACATTACTTGACACCATCATGGCTGTCACTCAAAGCACCCTTCTTATTTTTCACGTCACTTCATGCGCTATCCGCGGTTCACTTACAGTTCCTGGTGCACCTTACCCGCTACGAGATGTCCGAATCAAAGATTGATGATTCTGGCAAGGTGGAACATATCGAACACGGAAAAGCTTGTCCGCTGAATAAGGATGAACCCGACGCTGCGATTCAAGAGTTCAGGGCTCGCGAGGAGTCCATGAGCACTTGGCAAGCAGTCAAGTCCTATAAGCGCATTTTCATCTATGGTATGGCATCATTTTCAGGCTAGGCGCATAGCCTTTGGCAATCGATCAACCCGATGCTAATTGAGGATACATTAGCCATCGTTCCTTTTTTTGGTGGAATGGCCTACGGGTATGATACAGTCGCAAGCAGTGCCACTGTGGCTATGCCCGCGTTTCTCATGTCCTTTGGAGCCGTGAATCCAGTGACACACTCTCTTTATGCTCCGTCAATCTGGAGTGCATTGTGGACGGCCATGGCCAATCTCGGACAGGCGATCGGGGCATTTTCCATTGGACCCTTGGCAGAGCGGATTGGGCGACGCTATGCGATCGTGTCATGCGCTTTACTGTCATGTGCCGGCGTGGCTGTACAATTCACTGCCACAACCAGATGGTCTTTACTAATTGGCAAGATTCTCAACGGGGTTTGTATTGGTGGTATTATGGCCTGCGGAACAACTTATGCAGCCGATGTGTGATCTCCGTCTTCGCTTCTCTCTTCTCGTGCTTTCTGAAATGCTTGAATGGGCCGGGTTGACATTTTTCTCAGGTCAGCCAGACTGACTTTTCTTTTTTTCTAGATTGCACCCCTCAAACTGCGTGGGCCTATACTGCAAGGACTGGTCCTTTTCACTGTCGCTATGCAAGGGACAGCTCTTGGGATCATCCGGGCGATGGTTCCCAACAAAGCGCCTGTGGCCTGGAAAATTGTCTTTGCCATTCAATGGCCTGTGGCCGTCTTACTATTCCTAGCCCTACTGATACCGGAGTATGCTTTCCCTACAGTTAACAGCGGCGGCTTGACCAAAATTTACTAATATATGACATCTCGGAAGATCCCCGACATGGCTTCTTTCCCAGGGCAAAGTGGATGCTACTCGTGCTTCACTTGTGCGACTGTATGGTCAAAACAATTCGATTGAACTTCGACTCCAATCACTACAGATGACTCTTGCGGCGGAAGCGTCGACTCAGAGCCAGCACAAAGCATCATTCATTGAATGCTTCCAAGCCCGCAATCTCAAGCGTACACTAACTGTATGCTTGATGATGTTTGGCACTGGCCTCTTAGGTGTAGCATTTTTGAACCAAAACACCTACATTATTCTGACATTAGGTCTCCCCTCTGCCCATGCTTATGATGTCGGCGTTGGGGGTTTCTTCCTTGCTTGTGTGGTGATTATTGTCTCCTGGCTTTTCACCGACCGCATTGGCCATCGCCGCTTGTGGTTAATTGGCGTCGGTGGCAATGTTCTAGGAATGGCGACTGTTGGGGGATTGGGCTTTGTGAACAATCATGCTGGTCTTTGGGCAATCGCTGTTGTGATGTGAGACATTCGTCCCCCTCTGATTCGTTCCCCATTTTCTCTCCAATCAGTCTGTCTATATCTGAGCAACCGCTGACTTCCAGTACAGGAATCTCCTTATTCCATGGCAGATCTACACTTGTACTGGAATGGCCTGGACAATGACGCCCGAGATCGCTTCATCCCGCCTTCGCCAGCATACCCAATCGATCGGTTTCCTAGTCCAGGCTGTATCCAGCTGGCTTTTTCATATGATTGTGCCATATATGTATAACACTGACGCGGGTGACCTCGGTGCCAAGACTGGATTCGTGTTCGCCGGCCTCAGTGCGCTTTTGCTGGGTGCGTCGTGGTTTGTGGTTCCTGAAACCGCCGGTCGATCTGTCGAGGAGATAGACGCAGCTTACGAACAAGGAATTCCCCCCCGAAAGTTTCATAAGATATAACTGAATCGAAAGGCGGCTATGAGCTGAGCAGCCCAGCTGTATGTGAAGAAGAGGCGTGCGCCAATTGCCAGCGCAATTTTGATCCAGCTTTTCTGGATTCAGGAAGTATTTTTTCTCCACACTTCAAAAAGGTTGAGGAACCAAGGCTATAGCTTCAGGGAAGCTATGCATGAGCGTCACAAATCTTCATTCCTGCTTGATGATACAGGGCCTCATTTCATTTCTCATAGTCGACTCATCGGAGAAGGAACTTTTCAGGCCAGGTTCTCCTCGCGCGCTGAAAAGTATGGAAGTAAGGATGTTTGACACATTTCATATTTCAGTAAATCATCACCCACAGCTCGAACAACCCTTTTGAAACTCGCTGTATTCTGCAATCCGTAGAGAGTTTAGGTGATCGAACGGGCGGGGGTTATGTTTAATCAACCAGCCGAGCGAACTGCATAGAGTAGTTACAGCGAGCAGTAGCAGTCACTCAGTAATATTACTACTTCTTTATCAATATCAATTATTCGTACCGCAGCAGGAACCATCTACTATAGAGATAATTAATTCTATCTAAAATATATATCTTTTTATTTCGAGTACTATAAAAAATAATATACTACTTTCTTTAGATAAAAAGTTTTACAGTAGATTTACAGCAGAGGTATATTAGTATTACATATATAATACCTTAGTTTAGTAAGATTGTTGTATAATTTTGATTAGAACTACAAGTATCTAAATACTATAAATTTACATAGATTTCATTTCTTTTTACTAATTTTATGAATCTTTGAGGCATCAAGCTTTCCTCTTTGGGCTAGTAAATCTAATAGTATTTCCTTCATAATCCACAGCTTGGCAGCTCTGGTCTGCTGGAGAGATTGGGGATACCTAATTAGGGTTTCTGGTGCGGGTTGGGAACTGTCATTGCAGAAGGATGGGGACGGGTAAGATAGCTGTGTATATCTGAATCGAGTCCGCCTTAAATAGGCAGGAAACTCTTCTTGAAGCATTCATCCCTGAAAATGTTCATGTTCTGGCAATCCGCTGTCCATATACGCGCGAATGTGTTCTTTGTAAGATGGCCTCTATCCAGATTCTATCCCGATCCACACCACCACTAAAGATGCGAACGCAACACCCCCGCCGTCCCCAACGGCTCCTTAAACCCTACCCACCCCTGCGCCTTGATCTCCGCCAACTTGGCGCGAAACGGGCCCAACCCGCCGAAATACAGCAGACTGACCGGGCGCTTCCCGGCGACATTGCCGCCGAACATCCACGAGGGCGCCTGCGCGAAGAGCGTCTTGCGCGCGGTGACATCGCAATGCTCGGTCCACCACCGCTCGGCGGCCGGCGTCGCCTCGATCTCGCACTGTGTGCCGGTGCGCCGCGTGATCGCCTCGGCGCCGCGGATCAAGTCCCGCAGGAACTCGACATTCGTCTCGGTGAGCGGCGGCACGTTCGAGAACGCGGCCATGGGGCCCGACACAATCAGCAGGTTCGGGAACCCGGACACGGCGCAGCCGAGATAGCACGCGGACCCGGTGCGGCGCCACCGCTGGGCCAGGGCCTCCGCGGGGTTTCGGCCCTGGATCTGCACGCGCGCGTAGCTGCCGTCCAGCGCATCGAACCCCGTCGCCACGATGAGGGTGTCCAGCTCGTAGAGCGTCCCGTCCGCCGTGCGGAGCCCCTGCGCCACGACCTCCGTGATCGGATGCGCCCTCACGTCCACCGCATGGACGTGGTCCCGGTTGAACTGCTCGTAGTAGCCCGCGTCGCTGAGCGGGCGGCGCGCGTACGGCTCTTTGGGTGTCAGCACCTGGGCCTTCCGCGGGTCCGTGACGACCTCGGCGATCTTGCGGCGCAGGAACCGGCACACCTCCTCGTTGGCCGCCGGGTCGGTGGTCAGGTCGCTGAACCCGCCGAACATGAACTGCAGCCCGTTGCCCTCGCGCCACAGGGTCTCGAGGATCCGGGCGCGGTCCGCCGGGCTCACGGCCATGAATTTGCGGGACGATTCGGGGAACCCCATCCCGATGTGCGAGGCGCGCACGTCGGCCCACAGCGCCGGGTAGGACGCGTTGATGGCGGCGCGCTCGGTCGGGGTCAGCGGCCGGTCGTTGGCCGGCACGCTGTACTGCGGGCGCCGGATGAAGACGTGCAGCGATTTGACCTGGCTGGCGATGGCCGTCACGACTTGCACCCCGGACGAGCCGACGCCGATCACGCCCACGCGTTTGCCCGCTAGCGAAGCCTTGGGATCCCAGGCCGCGGTGTGCACCACCTCGCCTTGGAAGACACCCTCCTTCAGGCCGGGGATGTTCGGGATGACGGGCTCGTTCAGCAGCCCCAGCGCGGTCACCAGGTAGCGGACCGTGTAAGTGTACTGCACCTCCTCCTCCTCCTCCTCCTCGCCCTGGCCCTCGCCCTGGCCCTCTTGCTTCTTCTTCTTCTTCTTCTTCTTCTCCTCCCCCAGGCGTCGACGACACCGCACCCTCCACCTTTTGGCCCCATCATCCCACGCCGCCCCCTCCATCACCGTCTCGAACCGCATGTGGCGCCGCAGATCGTACCGCGCCACCACATGCCGCAGGTAATCCAGGATCTCCGGCTGCGTCGAGTACCGGTTGGCCGCCGGGTAGTCGCGCAGCAGCTCGTCGTCGAAGCTGTATCGGTACAGATAGCTCCAGGTGTCGCTGAGCGCCCCCGGGTACCGGTTCCAGTACCAGGTGCCGCCCACGTCGCGGGCCTGGTCGATCGCCTGCACGCGCAGCCCGTCTTGGGTAAGGGTGTGCAGGGCGTAGATGCCGGCGAAGCCGGTGCCGACGACGAGGGCGTCGAGGTCGTGGTCGAGGTCGGGGGGTTGGGGGTGGTTTTGGGGTGGGTCTTGGTGATCTTGGGGCATGGTGGGGGTCGTTGTCTGGGTAGGGCTGGGCTGTGATCACTTTACAATCCAGTACTAATGGGCGAGACGAGATGAGGAGTGGGAATTTCCGCGGCTAGTGGAGGCTTAAAGTACTGTACGGACTGGACTGTGTGTACTTTTGCGGGCGTGAGGGGCTGTCCCCACCTCTTTGATGGATCCGCTGTGGTTAATTAGAGCTTGGCTATTCCTGTCGATAGCGTGAGCATGACCTGACCGCGAGAAGCGAGTTTATCTGAGGGGATGGTAAGGCTACATTTGCGGGGTCAGTGGTTAACAGGTATAGCCGCCCACATGTGACTCTACTCCCATCCAAAGTATCTACAAATGCGTCATGCATCCGCCTCCATCTCATAGTACGGATCATTCGGGTCATACGGGAATTTGCGCACCACCACATCCCCCTGATACCGCCACAGCTCCTCTTCGATCCCGGTCAGCTGCACTGCACAGACCTCCTCCGCTTGCCCGAACGTCTTCACCTCCGTCGCCGACCCATTCGCATAATCAACCCGCACCATATTCACCGTCTGCCGGCTCGGATCCCCCAGCAGGTAGTTCAGCGGCGTGAACTGCACCCCGGAGTGCGCCGTCGTGAACACCGTGTTCGGCAGGTCGCCCGTGTGCGGGACGTGGTGCATCCCCAGGTTCAGCCACACGACCAGATCGGTCTGTTTGAGCGACTCGCCGTCGAAGAACTCGGCGAAGTTGACGGGCGGGTCGTAGATGTCCTGGCTGTTGTAGGGGTGTGCGGCGCGCGGCTCGTGGTCGTGCTGCTGCGTGACCTGGATGTCGTACTCGGCCCAGTGCGCCGCGTGCGCCAGGTTGCTGGAGTCCTGGACCGTCAGGTGCGCCGTCCCGGCCGCCGGCAGCACGCGGTAGCCCCGGTACTCGCCGTACTGGTTGCGCGCGTCCTGGTTGATGACGTGGATCATCGTCGCCCCGTTCGGACCCCAGTTGAAGCGGCCTTCGTCTTCGGACGATAGAATCGATCGCTCCAGGGCCATGGTGTTGCGCGTGCGGCCGCCGGACCAGGTGAAGTTGCGGGTGACCGGGGCAACGGTGGTGAGCTCGATGCTGTTGTTCACGCCGAGGATGTCGAAGTCGGCCTTGAAGTTGAGAACGTGGTCGTGCATGCTGCCGGACAATGCATCGTGGATGCGGTAGCCGAAGTCCTCGTTGTGCGCGTAGTAGGCGGCTTGAATGTAGCCGGAGGCGCGGACTTCGACGCCAATCGTGCCATCCATGTGGAAGGTGTAGCTGGAGGTATGATTAATGGAAGTGATGCATGCGTGTTTTTGGGCTTGACTCACCTAGTCATATAGTCATAGTTGCCAATAGTGGACACGGATCGGAGGGTGAGGTATACGTTCTTCGTACTGCTCACGTAGTCGGACGTGCTGTGGCGCTGGATAGGATAGTCTGCATCGTACTCAAACACACAAAGACTGTCAATGTGCGTGTGCGTTGTTTCAGAGACGTAAAAGGAGCTGTTGAGGTAGGTTGCATAGACCGGGCAGTCGTAGCCTTTGACTAGCTCAAAGGCATACGGTCCAAACCCGTAGTATGAGTCCAGATACGCGACGCTGGATTGTATAGGGTCGTTGCCAGCATAGTGGGCGAGTGCCTCCTGTAGGCCCAACTCGTACAACACGCGCTGACCTTTGTAGCGGATATCAAACACTGACACGCCCGTATCACGAGAGAAGCTGATATAAAACGAGAAGTCCATCCATTTCACGTATTTGCGGTCAAGATCCACAGAGTACCGTGCTCCTGACGGCGCTACCATGAGAGGAGGTTGCTGCTTGTCTTGCGGAAGTATAGAGCCCCGTTGGTCTGTTTGTGCCCATGGTCCTTCAACGTTGGGCTTCAGTTTGACGAATCCGGGTGAGAAAAATGCATTACGGAAAGCCTCTGTCGTTTCATAGAAGACGTCATTGTAAAGCCAGCCTTCAAGCATCCACTGAGAAGGGTCGCGCCCAGTCACATCGGACTTGAAGAATAGTCCCAGTGGTAGGATGCTACCGGTGTCGAACTCATCCGTCGGCATGTTCCAGAATGTGTCCCAGCGGACGATCCGGCCGTCACCCTGCCAGAGGGGGTCAATACCCCATATGTCAAGGGTGTCGTTATCCAAGCCCAGTGCAGTCCCATGGAACAGGTCTAGGGTGATATCTGCAATGGATGCGCCAATCTTATACAGCCACTCAGAGTAGATGGTGCTATAGTCAGCGTCGAGATTGCGCACACGACCGTGAGTCTTGCGCGTGTAAGGATACTCTAGTTGCTCCCACGTAGGGGTCGATTGATTAGTGATGGGTAGAGGCCCCACCAAAATATCAGCATAATGAGGGTCAGTAGTGGCGCGGTTGTCAAGGACAACATGCGCATAACGGCTAGGTGCTGGACCTTGGTGATCGAGATAGCTCAAGACATCCGTCTTGTTGGGCCGCATCAGCTCGACGAGGGTACTGGTGCTGTTAGCAATCGAACAATGCTCAGAAAAAGAGGGGCTTACATCGTGTTATCCCACTCTCCGGCATCCTCCGTGACTGTCAGGTTCAAATCTGTTTGCTGGAAGAGCCACTTGACAACGGATGCTGTCTCATCGTCCGTCAACCCTTCCCAAACATTATGCTTCGGCGCTCTGATCACCGTGGCATTCTCATCGACGCAAGAGGACGAGGACATAGACGAACGGGCTTGCAGGTTACGCGGGGAATTTTTCCTCCCCCGACCTTGACGTACCCATGCCGTCTTGGGGCCTGGTCTCGGGTGAGCTAAAGCATCTCCTATGAGACACGGTAGAAGGAGCAATAAAGGCAACTCTGCCACGGAAATCATTAGCATCATTAGCCTCATGTTGTCCAAGGATGCAGAAAGTATTGACTGTTGTGAGACGAGATGCTATGCCAGCATCAAGGCTTTATATATGTCGCCTTCGCCCTGCTCGGAACTAGCTAAGAAACAATTCCACCATAAATAAGAGTATTCTCTTAGCTGATATCGGAGAGTATTGTTGGCTATTCTCACCACTCTCTGATTGTTGGGATCACAAACCAGTCGGGCATATCGCGTCAGCCTGCTGTTGGACCTTCCTGAATCAGAAGGTACAGGCAGTGGTGAAAGTGCTGCTTATGCTATCATTTGGTATCGAGATTTAGCATAGATCCAAGAAACCATACATTCAACCCGTAGTGATATGACTCCATGTGTTTGGGCCTGGCAGAGACTTGGCGTGACCGTGCCCTGGATATGGAGTTGAGATCGGAACTGGTTGCGATTATCTCTAGCGAATCCGAGCCAGTCGTCAAGAATGGGGTTTATCGCGTCCCGCGTTGATAGACTCTGCGGGGTAGATAGTCCCTGGACAGAAGCAAGGATAATTGAAGGTCACAGATGTATCAGGGCATATCTGTGCTGCAAAGCAATCGAAGTATTGAGTCATGGCATCGACGAAAGAAGTATCGAGATGTAATCGTTCAAGCATGGGGCTTGTTTATAAAGTACATAATAGACCTCTCCCGACAGCATCTCGCTAGGCTATGTTGGACTTGCATAGTAGGCCAGTTTTTGACACAGACTGTGATTGCTGGGCCTTCCAACTAGGCCGTTCATCTTCTCTTCTGATGCTTGCTGTAGCCGTAGCATCGTCAAGTACCTATACTTAGCACCATGCGTTAGCACCAAACAAAATCGCCTCGGAGCCATCTCGGAATGTATGACAGGAAAAAATGTTCACCATGGTAGCAGATTTAAGCGAGGTGACAGGCTGAAGTGTAGCGTCTCTGAATTTGAGCAGCAGGGAAGAGGGGTTGTTATCTTCAGCCTATAAGCGACAACCAACCTAGGCAGCCCAAGCGACTTTTATGAAAGAGGGAAATAAGAAGTGTGAGAGCCAAGCTGAACCCAAGATATCGCGCGCTGAGTGCAACAAAGATTCCTCCGAAAGCGTCATGAGGTGTGACAAGGAGAACGGATTGAAGTTGAAGGTGGTAGGAAATGGCAGTAAGCGAGCAGGCAGGTGACCCTCTCGGGTATTCCACACCTTGCACCCTCAGGCAGCCATCCTCATTGTTGGAATTGGCAGATCCGTCTGAAACTCTCGTGCCGCGTTGTAATTAGGCTGACCAGTTCATCTGAAGATCGCTTATGAATAGTTGAAGGTATTTGACATTTCCAACAGCAAAAAGCCTGTATCTGATTGAGGCACCTATGTGCGACTCAGGCTTCCATGTTGGTAAATGTATACTACCTCTAACATCAAGGCAGGCAACTCTAGCGTCTCACCTCAAACTCCAGTGTTGATTTCATCCTCGCCGATAGCGAGGTCTCACACTCCTACATCCTCTTAAAAGCCTTCAACTTCGCTTAGACGCTTTGGACAAAGATCGTGTATCTGGCTCAGAAGCTCATTTTTCAGGGCCATGAACAGCCTCTTGATGTCAATAACGGTTATCCGATATGGTTGCTATCTGGATATGAAGGTGTCACCGTCTTGTCGTTGCAGATGGGTAGGGTAGGTAGGTATTCTGTACTAAATAGGAGACCGCTAATTGTTAACCATGCCAACGAGAGTTTGATTTCTCTCTAGATCTAGCGTCATATGCGCAATAATCATCCCAGCTTGGAGTATGTGACTCGAAGGAAAATGAGCAGCCCCCTCGAGGTCCAGTCGACCAGACAGCAGAGTGAGGCATAAATATCTGAGTACCTGCCAGTGATCAGCAACATCCGCAGAATGGACCAAAGCTAGAAGGTAGGCAGCACGAAATCACGTGTAAAAGAGTAGCCCAACATCTCGCTAAACGAGCCGCTTATCTGCCTTTCCTCTTAATGCTCAAGTGCCCTGGCGCATTCACGAGGTAGTAGGCCACTGTGTATACACACACAGCCAGTTCATAGCATGCCTCAGAGCGAGACAATAAACAGGATTGCCGAAATAATCGTCACAGGTTCAAAACCTCTGAGTTTCATCCAGCATAGGGATCAACTCAACCGAGACTACTTCATACCAGATCCCAACACAGCCATCCCATACACACCTTCCAAGTCTCAACCCTCCTCACCCCTGACTCGTTACTCTTAAGACTCAATACTCTAAAGCAAAGGATAATCCCTTTCCCACCCTACCTCCATTTACACAACACCAAGAAAACACCAACCATCCCTTCTCCCTCCCACTACGTCATACTCTTTCTCCCCCCCCGGCGCCGAAGAGAAACAAAGGGGTTCAACGTCCCACCACCAGATACAGAGTATATCCGAAGCCCGTCACAGCATAGAGCCGAATGTCATCCTCCAGCAAATTACCACCATCCATGCGTATGCTTTCGTTCGAGAAAGAGTAGAAAGGTTGAACCCCTTCGCATCCGAGATAAACCCATCTTCTCACTGTGCTTTCGCATCCGAGCACGACCGTTGACGCATCCGAAGGTTGAACCCTTCGGCCGAAGTACCAGCTTGTAGTATACGAGAGACGTGTGCCGCGGAGGAGGCACAGGATCATACGGTGTTCTTCGTGAGCTGCTCGGCGCTTTTACCCCAGTTCTCGAGAGGTTCTCGATTTATCAGCCATCCAGGCCTTCTAGCCTGTTTGGGGTTGATTCTTGGTACCCCTTGACTAACCGTGATTGTTTGAGTAAGGGCCTGATTGGTCTCTTGGCTTCTTTATGCGTTCGTTCTGGAGAACGGCGAAGTTGACCTAGGTTGCCATACTACCGATTTCCCCTACGTCAGAGAAGATACCCACCCCACTGCGTTGAGCTTCTGCATACCATGTGGTTAGTATGCATCAAACAACTAGGTGGACGGTAGCACGAGGAAGCCATACACAGAGATTCATGATGAAGAGTGGTACCCTCGAGACGAGAGCCATCAGCAGTTCCCTTCAGTTCTCTCTGTGCAAAGCAAAAAGATAAAAACAAGGTAGACAGTCCCGAGCCGGACCCAAACAACCCGCAACCACAGCCCGCAAACCGCAAACCGCAACCGCAACGGGCGCCGCACCACAACGGCCACCGTGCGTTAAAACTACCTTCGATTAAATGGTACTTGCAGTAAAATCGATAAGGTATCAACCCTTGACGACTAGGTTCCATATTTCCTAGCACCTACAGCAGCCACATTCAAAGAACATGCCACATGCTGCCTTATTATCCAATCCAGCCTTACCGTCACCTCCCAACTCTAATTAATGCTCAAGGGATCTCAACCCTTGTCTAGAGACAAGATGGGGATTGGGAGATTGAGAAACAATGGCATGATCTGCTTGTCCGTTCATTCGTCAATCAACGAATTATTGGCGGTTTCATGTACCGGTAGTTTGTGCCAGAGGTAAAGGCAAAGACATCCATCCAGTCGATGCGTGACCCTACCTACATACAGTATACTCGTAAATCCTCATCCGGGATCTGGGACCCCCTCGAAAGGAGGAGGGAGGAGCGTCCAAACCCCGAAGTGCAGCAAAATGTCAGGTCGGCTTAGACTTCACTCGTTGATGTCCGGAATCACTATCAACTATTCCCACCAAAAAAAAAAAAAAAAAAAGAAAAAGAAAAAGAAAAAGGAAAAAACCCGGTTGCGCTGCTCTCTCGCAAAGTAGTCCAAACTCGAGAGCAACTGCACCACCCCGAAGTAAAGTCCCCAGGTTACTCGGTACATGCAGACACAATCAACCCGAATACCAAGCAAGACTTTAATACCTACTCAATAGATAGGCACCTAGTTCCAAGCTCTACTCTACTCCACCCATAGAAGGGCCAGCCCCTCACCGCCGGAACCCAAAGTTTAAATGCTGGCATTCCACAATAATTAGACCTCGAACTACCAATAAATCTTCAGTGCTCCGTACACTCTATCCTATGGGCTTGGAAATCCAGGTTCCAATCAATCGATCGGATCAGGCCAGACAGCCAGACATCTCGGATCCGAAAAACACCTACCGTAATTGCCAGAGACAACTTATCTCCGAGTGTGTGCCTTCACCCCTTCCCCCTCTCTTACCTAACAGTACTGTACTCAGTATAGAAAAAGAAACTCGACCCCGCGGAGATAATCACCGTACCACCTCCGTGCAACAAGAATGGACTAGTTCCACCCACTACAGAGGAAGATGAGCGCCGTTGGACCGTTAATCTAACAACAAAGTTTCTCTTCGGTCGGAGGTAAACCACTTTAGTTATGGCCGGATGTCTCCGAGGGGGCCGCTTCGGCCGGTAGGAATGGATGGGAGTCATCATCATCATCATCCCCCCCCCCAAAAAAAGGGTGTGCGTACCGTATGGGATGGGCTGGAGCACGTGGAAGACAGGAGGGAATGGCTCCGCAGGTCAAGATGAATGACAATTATAGAGAACAAAGGCGACTCTAGCCCTTTTTCTCATCTCGCTTGGTTTGTGTTGTACACATCTCCTACCGAGGACTCCGTACTCATACGCATACTCCGCACCACCATCGTCATTTTTGTTGTAAGATGCTGTGTCCACTAGGTGGTGCTGTACAGTACAAGCGAAAATGCCTCAGTCCCGGCCGGTCCGCCTCTTGCAGACCCTAAACCCGTCGCCGCCGTGGCACCGCCCTAACTGATTTGACCTGATCGTCGCAATGATTGTCATGATTATTTGCGAAATAAGAATAAAATGGACCCCCGCCTTCGACAAAATGGGATGCGGGTTGGGAAGAAAAAAAGGGGAAGAAAGGGCTACATTCTTCATGCAGCAGACGAACCATCAACAGTCACTACAGCTCTTTCCAAAGGTTGCGGTCGTTCATTCCTTTTTGTCGGAACAGGACATCGGGCGATTCCTTCCAGCGTCTTTCTGATCTCTGAGTTCGGCCGAAGCGGTTAATACTCGGCCGTTCAGACACTGCCTGCCTAATCCCGGATCCGTACTTGAAACAAAGGACAGGGGAAAAGGCAAAAGGAAAAAGGAAAAAGGAAATTTAGGGAAATGGTAGACCAACAAACAACACAATGCAAATGTCCAGGAGGCCGGCACGAACCCAAGTGGGAGGGGGCAAGGAACCACTGCACTGCATGAGGCACACGGACGCCCTCCCGGAAATACTCGTGACTGGGGGCTGGCTATCAAATTACTACAAGTACCCGCCGAAGTCCGGCTTTCTCCTCCCTCCTAGTTTGCTCCTCGGCCTCTCTAATTACTCGCAAGTGGCGGACCTTCTCCGAGGCAAATACCCCAGGTTCTAGCCAGAATGGAAGACACAAGCCATCCCCACTGCCCATGCTCACCAAGGCTTCGATCCGTGAGAAAGCAGGGGAAGTGACGCGATGAACACATGTGACCGATTGAATATGATCAGTATCGGTTGATTCTCAGGCATACCGACCGCGCTCCCACGGTGGGAGCGCCCACTTACGGGATCATCCAAAAGGGACAGATCAGAATCAAAGGCCCCGCGACTGGGGAATTTGGCTGCAGGCTACTGGAGACTCTCGCGAATCTCGCATAGTGGCCCATTTATTTCAAGCGTTCCCCGTACTCATGCTGGGAAAAAGCATTACATCTGAGACCCGATTGAGAATATTGTCAATATGTCCCTCTTGGGACGGCGCGCTATACGTCGGGGGGACAGGAACAGCTACCGAGGCAAGCCCCGCCGGCGATGGGGAAGTGAAGACTGTGGCAGGAGACAGGTTCGGGGTGGTCGTTGCAGTCTCCGGAACCGATAGCATCTTCTGTTTCTTGCTGTGCGCACGGAACGCGGCACTGACTTCGCGCAGGGCACGCAGCGATGAGGCGAGATGTTTGGCCGAATCGGTACGATTGTTTCGATCAGCTTCGCCATCGCCGTGCACATGGTCCGACAAAGCCGCCTCCAGTCTCTGGATCAGATCCCACGTGTGCGGGTGCAATCGCTCATTATTGTTGGCTACCAAGAGGAAAGCTGACGCGATCGTCCGTTGCAGGCTTATCCAGGTGCGGGACGCATGTGCATTGATCGAATGCAGTTCGATGAATGCCTGGATCGTGTTGCTCAGATTGGTCAAGCAATCCTCCTTAATGATTTCTCGCCGCTGCTCATCCATGTGTGCATCCGGATCCAGTGATACTCGGCACACGAATGATATGAAATACGAGGAATGCAGTCGCAGTTCGGTTCGTTCAATATGCTCCGCCAGAGTGGTACAGCGGTCTTCAAATCGCAGGTGTGGTGCTGCCTCAGCGAGGATCCGTTCAATACGTTGCTTAAACTCCCGGATTTCATGGTACCTAAGGTGACTATGATGGGTGAACATGAGGTTTCGCAACATCTCGAGAATAACGGAGATGATGCGGCACAGCGTCTCGAAGTAGCCCCGGTGGCCGGGCATGGATTTGGGATCGTATGGAATCTCGGGCTGGCTGATCATGGTGATCGAGGGTCGATCGTACGCCAGGGAAAAATGGCTGTTCTGGAAAGCCATCGCCCACCTAATCTCGTGTGTAAGTATTGCTGTCTGTTTCTCGCAAATCGGTGCTCAACGCCTTACCAGACTCTTCTCCGTGCCGCTTGCACAGCCCGAGAATATCCCGCAGTCTCGACGTGCAGACCCAGCACCATACACATGCGCTCGGTCATTCCTACAAACCACAATCAGTGTTCATCGAAAAGTTGACACGGCAGAAACAACACTCACCAAGCAATGTATACGAGGCTCCTGCATTCATGTTGTAGGATAGGACGCTCCCGATGACCAGCAAGATTTGAATGATTTCTACGGTCGGCTGAGATACATAGTTTAACATGCGCAAGCAGTGATAAGCACATGATACTATAGTCGGTCAGTCATGTCACAGCGGAGAGGTGGAGGCTGTACGAACCATATACCCACGAGGTCAATTCGCGTTCCTTGCCTGGTAGGTCGGACAATTGACAGCCCGAGGCTAGAACGGCAAAGAGGAGACTCAGGAAGGATACACTCATGCCAAACGGTTTAACAAGACCGTTAGCATCCGGTCGATATACACCGCCAGCAGCTTGTCGGCCTCGCAACAGGCGCTCCATATTGTCCTCGAGTCTTCCAACATCTGACAGCACCGGATAAAGCACGGAACCAACGTCTATATAGAATTTCAACAGTCTAGCCAGCCGAACCAGTCAGTCATTTCAACCCACAACAGAGGATACAGGGGCCGTGGACTCACTTTCGGCATTGTTCATCATCGGGTAGCACGCTACATACGCCGGCGATATTGAATGTATAAGGGTCGGACGACCACAAATCTACGAACGGGTACGCGGCGGATTCGTTCCCCATGGCCAACTCCGCGAGAAGGTCCTCTTTTGGCAACGCCTGTGCCGTATCCTCCGAGTTCTTCGACTTATCCAAGATGTCGATCAATGCCGATCGCGACCCAATATGGACGGAGCCAGTCTTCATTGTAGTTGAACCAAAAATCCCCTCCGAGGTGGGAGACACCTCATCCTCGGCGGGGAACACCTCTAATCGGGGTTCGGTGGCTCTTCGCGCCCCATGGGACTGGAACAAAGAGTCCAGACTGCCTAGGATTTCCTCCATAGTCCGCATCTTGGTGTTGATTTCGTCCCATTCCGATTGCGATAAAGTCACGACTTCCGGCAGGCCGTCTTGGGAAGTCGATCCGGTCGATCCCGGGTCGGGGCCGTAGGGAGCATCGCGACCGGACGAGAGGTGGGAGGACGGAGGGAGAAACTGAGGTGTAGTAGTTGTTGAGGCGGTCGCGGGGCCGTATTGGTCGGCGACGAGCGATCCGGGTCTAGGCGCCGAGGGAGGAGGACGGCCGTAGGAGCAGGTGAAATTGCGCTTGACACAATTGCCGCATGGCACATTGCGATCACAGCGAACTTTGCTGGCACGACATGGAAGGCAAGTTTTACATTCGCGAGGCCTGCGGCGGATGGGATACGTAGGCATATTGTGGTTAATGGCACGTGTTTGCGCTCTCACACACACACAGACCCCACTACTCGACAGGGAAACCGGGCAGACGTCAGAACCGGCCGAGTGGATGAGGAGGATCAGGCGAGGAAGGTCTAGTGTGTGAAACTGAGTCGGTGTGCACACTCATCAAGAATAGATATTATGTTACTCGATCGAAGAATAGAGATGCAGGGAAGAGTTGACAGGCCGAAGAGGATGGGGCTGGGATAGAGGTTTGGATGCTGAGAGGAGGAGAGAGGATCGAAGGCGTGCTATTCGCGCGAGGGGAGCTGATAGCGAATGGAATCGAGTTGGAGGGTGGGAGGGCCGAGGTGTCGGGAAGCGAACGCGACAGGTAACGATAGCGTCGAACAGAGCAGGGAAAATTCCGCACGGGGGAGAGGGGGCGAAGGGCCAAGGCACAGCCAGTCAATGGCGTTCAAGCCGGCACAACCAAGGCTGAGGTGACATGTTAGAAGCAGGCGAGGTCTCGACTGAGGGAGGGAGGGAGGGAGTAAGTGTGAGTGAAAATGAGATGTGTGGTAAGTGAGTGGTGGTGGTGGTGGTGGATAAATGGATAATATTCAGATCGATGCAGGAGCCGATCTCTTTTTTCGGGGAGGGGAGGGAACGGAGAAAAGGGCCCGGGGAAGGAATGCTGGACTAATAGGTGAGAGTAGTAGCCAGCAAACAAGCTGGAGGGGAAAGACGATTTGAATTAATTTCAGCTGGGAGTATCCGATCGAATGGATGGATTGGATCACAGTAGTGGCTACTACCTTTTTTTAGTCAGTTTATGTGACTAACTCACTAATACTTAGCCAAGTGGTTCGTGCAAGGACGGTTTGTTTTTCCCAACTAGTGCTCGCTAGTACATAGACTCAGGAGGGGACGATGAAGCGTAAGTAGCTAAGACCGTAAGAGAGATCAGAAGAGAGAGACACACAGAGTGATAGAGGGATAGAGTGACAGAGTGACAGAAAGCGCAAGACGCGGAATGAGCCATGATGAAAGAGCGAGAGGTTGACTGGGTCAACAATGTACGGCGGGAAGGTAATCAACTGGAATTCTGCCCGGGTTGGTTGGTCGATTTCGGGTTTAGCGGCGACCCAGCCATCCATGATTCCTCCCCCATCTCACCTATCCGAGATGGCGTGGTTCTAGTATCTCAACTTCTGCACATTGTCAATTTCTGGATGCATGCGATATCTCATATCTTCTACGGTTCTTCTCTGATTTGAATCATCTTGTTAACCCTGACATTCGGCTTTCTTGTCCAACGAATGAGAACGGATTGAAGCTACCAGAGAATTGTTAGCCGTACTTGTAGCCACCCCCGGCCACTGCCGGCCACTGCCAACCTAGTTAGTTGCCTTGCATAATTCACCCCCCAACCCCACAGCAATATCGCAGGAGCATAAGCATGGACCCGGCGCGGGATCCTATATTCATCTCACTGTTAAGATCGTCCCAACAAAAATAATCAAGCATAAGCAGCTGATTTATTACTTAGTAATTAGACCATATGTAAGTTACTTGGTAGTTCACTTAAGCATAAGGTTGTGTCAGCGGGGTGGTGGTCGCTGATCGGGTTCGTTCCGGCAGCCAGGTTTCGGTTCTGCAGGACCAGAAGACAAGTTGACCTCAGCCAGCAGGGTCAGGGGGAAGAATATTCGAGAGCAAAAGCTAAGTTGGGCACGATGCTAGGTGGATGGGACAGGCAGATCAGCTGATCACCGACGTGGGCTGATCCCGAGGTACCAAGTGGGTAACAATGTTGGTTGCCTCGCCTATCCTTTGATGTGTAGATCGTGGATCACAAAAGGGAGTACAAATGTAAAATCTCAATGTTGAGAATGCTTTGGAGATGAATATCTGGTGTTTCTATTCCAATTTAGTTTGGAGAAAAAGAGTTCTATGGTCGTTGCAATCCCGCCGGCTCCTGCTCAACACCCACACTTGCACATTATGCTTAATTTGACTACTAATTGCATGACTTCATGATGCATCAAAAGCCTCCACATAAAGCTTGTCCGAGACCATGAAGCGAAGAATAAGCTCGACAATCGTTCGCTCATTGGCTTGCCCGTGGTGTTTGGCCCTGGGTTGAGATTTATAGGTCAGTTTGTACGGAACTCGAGACAAAGAAATGGATAGATCGACAGAAAACGCCTGCGCATTCACGTCCCTTCGACCTGAGGAGACGGTCTTCACCCTGCCGAGTGGGGTTCAGATCAAGCAGATCGGGCCTCTCGGGACGCATGGTTGACAAGGAACATCCTGGTAGTCAGGTGCGGTTCCGTCATGTCTTAGAAGCCCCCGACGTGGTCGCGGGGGAGACCTGCGGTACAACCCACCAGTCATGCCAGCGGGCTTTGGATCCGACATCCGGAATTGTGACCCGAAGATTAACCGACTGGGGCGCTTGGGGGTTTTCGCCATTTCTCGAATCCGCTTGTGCTTTCAAGGCCTTCTTAACGGTTTCAATCGCGATACTGGCACCGATACAAGCCCGCATGGTATCTTTGATGTCTCGCTTCCAGTCCTCCTCGATGGCGAGAGCGGGACTGTCCTTCTCATCGGAATTATGCATGAATGCACCGTTGGCCAGCGTGGCTTCCCAAGCCTTTCGTGCTTCCGAAATGGCTTTAGCGGCACGCTCTAAGACGATATCATCGCTGTCACCTTCCAGCACCGCCTCCCGATGGTATTCGTCGTAAGGGACCAGCTCCGGTAAGGTGATCTGAAGAAAGGGCTTCATGCGGATCTCGTACCTTAACCGGTCGCTGGAGTAGGCCTGGGGTGAAGAAGTGGTCGGTAGGACACGGTGGCGAGCGAGAAGAACGTATAGAGCGTGCAAAGAGATAGCAAATGCATCAACAGCGACAATCTGTGTGGTCATCCTCTCGAGAAGTCGAATAGACTGCTGAAGTACGGCATGGCGCTCGAAGGCATCGCGCTTCTTAGCAGCCAGATCCGCCAAGTTGCGTTTTGCCGTGGCCACAGTAAAGGTACGAATCCGGTCGATGTGACCGAGGTGGGTAGAGCAGATGTGGGACAGGTACCAATACATCCCAGGTAGCTCTTCAGGCGCGTAAATAGAGAGCTCGAATCCGAGCTGTAAGATCAGACGGAATTGGCTCAATTTATGATGGTACGCCCAGCTGCTGAGGGGGTATGAGTAAGTGGTATCACCGTTGGCTAGCTGCAAAGGGGGCTCATTGCTCAATGTGCGAAGCTGCTCGTCAAGATCTTCGGCCTAGGAACGAGATTAGATTCCAGCCGCCGCAGCAAGGGAAAAGTGGGAACTCACTTCCATCTGCAAATTGTCCCAGTCTACAAGTGTATGGCAGACAGTCCGTCGGATACGACAGCGGTTCAAGCAGGCACTCCGGAATGTATCAACGAAAGGCTACATCGGTTTAACTCAATCGCCGGTCAAGATAGATGCGTTTTGCAGTCTACTTACCTGAGAGAAACGTTTCGTGAAAACATCCATGTGCTGCGCTATTTGGAATCGTGGATCCGAAGGCACCTCGATTTCATCCGCACTAGCTTGCAGAAGTATACTGGACGGAAGAACGATCTGTTCCAGTTCGTCATAGAGAAACTGCTTCACGGGAACCGCTCCGAGTATCGTCCTGTTGCTGACGATAAGGGACTGAACAAGAGATCTTATATAGACGGAAGGCTGAGGCTTTCGCGAAAGCAGAGTCCAGATGACCACCTAAGCAGGTTAGCATCAACTACGACCAGAATGAAACAAAACTCCCGCACCTTCAGGTTATACGGCCCTCGGTAGTCAAGAATCTCGAGCAGATCAATAGCATCCTGGCATAATCTTCTCAAATGCGCCAGCGCATCCTCAAAGCTAATCTTGACCATTGGACGAGGAGGTACAGTGCTAGCCAGTTTCCGTTGGATTTTGCAGTTGAAGGATTCAGGCACCTCTTTCCCTAGAACAGCTGACTTGCCCAGAAAGTCCAGATGAGATAGACAACTCAGAAAATGCGCTGTCGATCGTGTCTCTATCACTTCCACATCCTGCTCCAGTCCCCAGAGAAACTCTCGTCGGAAGAGCAAGCGAGCCCGAATAGCTTCCGCTACCTTCTCACTGAGCATATCCGGGTGTTCATCAACCCAGCGAATTGCATGGTCCAGGAGATCATGAAAGTGTTTTGAGTCGAAGTGTGACAGTAGGCTGCGATTATACAATTGTGTGACGAAGTCCTCCTCCTAAGAAGAAAGCAAACGATGAGTGAGATCAATGTACAACCAGCAGAGCACGGCAACACCTACCTCAAAATAGTACTCGGTGGTGACTCGCGCATGTACAAAATCGCAAGATTTCACAAGCGCGAGGCAGTAAGCACGCAGGACAACATGCACCATATCAGGAACCTTCTTGTTGTTTTGCGACTGACCCCGGCAAAAATGAGCGTTTTCGAGGGTTTTCGGTACGGGCCATAGCAGCCTATCGAGGTACAAGGAAGTGAAAAGAGTTTGGGAGAGAGGGTGGCCCATGTGCCATGCCATCTGCCATCAAGTTGACTCAGTTAGCTCACATGCTGCGCTTTGACAAAGACGACCAGGTCACACCTACCTCGTGACATAACAACTCGTCCATGATCCCCAGAACCTCTTCCGGAGCCAGCTCCCGCATCAAGTCGTAGTCGTCTTCAAGGGCCTGCGCGTGAATCTCTCCCGGGCCTAAGTAGCCGCTATCCATCTTCGAGTCCATGATCTGAGGAGCCACAGTATATCAGTCTTGGTGCTTGGGGTTCGAAACCAGTAGCCTGGCTGAGTATCGAGTCGCAACCAACCTCAAGGGCGCCAACGGCCTCGAAGAGCGTAAAGTATTCATCTTTGACCAGCTGACCGGTTCGAAGTTCTATTTCAGAAGGGATCAAGTCGTCAGTACACCACATTTAGGATTTAAAAGCAAGACCAGCAGGGGTGAGATGCGAACTTGAAGCAGCGATTGTGAAGTCATCTGTGATGTCGCGCGGGACAACAGACTCTGGAACGACCCGCATTGTCGGGCCTCGTACTTCGTTATTTGGCAGCATAGAAGTGAGCAATCATCTGCAGCCAGCTGCTAGACTTCCGAAGCCGGTCATGGATAGTTGGTTCAATGGTTTCAGTGGAGATTGGAGAGGACGCTGGAGAGCGGGCGAGGGGAGGCGGGGAGTCGGGGAGTCGGGCGGACAGGGCAAAACTTGCGGGAACGCAAGCCCGCACCGGTTGAGCAGGAAGGAGTTCCGAAGGAGCTCTTAAAGACCATGCCACACAAAACCAACCCAGAGCATTACGTTTAGCACAACAGGGAATTTACTTTGATCAATCATGAAAGCAGGAGGGACACAATCTTTTCTATTTATACCTGGTCAACGGGCCAATATTGCTACAGAGATCCAGTCCATTCCTGCATCAGAGTACCTCCCAAGACCTCATCAACCTCTTCCCAGCGCTCATTCTATGTATTCGAAAGTCGTTCTTGCGGAGAGAGAATCTATTTCGACTCAGCCTGGCCGGCGGTGGCCTGGACCTGAGCAAGGTTCTTGACTTCACCCTGCTTGCCGTTCTGGATTGAAGAGTGTGTTAGTCGCGATGCTTTGTACCATTGACCTCCGATATCCACCGGAGGGGCGTCCAGATACGAACCTCCCACTTAGCGAAACGCAGGTCCATCTGACCACGGCGCTCAGCGGCAGCACGAGGACCGTCCTTGAGGGAGCGGCGGACGGCGCGAGCGGCGACGGCCAGGTAGCGGTTGTAGCTGTAAAAGTCGGTCATCGCGTTAGTCAGGGCCTATGGTCGGAGAGCAGACGGACGTGAAGTGACTAGAAACGTACGTGAGACCAGCGGACTTCCAGGCGAATACCATTTTGACGGTAGAAGACGAATGAGGGATTTCGGTTTAAGGAGATGGTATCGCTTTCACTGTGATGCTTTGCAGACGGTCGAGTTCGGAGGATCGGGAACTCTGGTCATGTGACTCACGTGATACTGTCAGTCACCTGACCGTATCCGGGTGACGCAGACGGGCGGAGAGCCCGGTGTGAATCTATACTTCCTAATCGGGCAATACTATACGCAGCCAGGCTAAGCAAAGAGCAAAGAACACTAGGCTCATGGTCTTTCTTGATATGCGATCCTTGAGCCTCTTACGCTAATTGAGACGTCTGGGGCTAACTCAGCTGGAATTTTGACCCTAGCATCTCTCGTGTTGATCGGCTCCTATGAACCCTGATGTAATAAACCTAGGAGGTTGCACCGGGGTAGAGCCTGTTACTGTAGCTATCCTCTTACACTGATGTGTTAGTATGGGAATACACTGTAGCTCTGCCATCTCAACAAGTTCTGTGAACTTGCGCAGACAGATATCATCCAGATTAGCTTTAACACTTGGGTCCCGTACATAAACAAAAACCTTCCACTGGGTTCGCCGGGACAAAACTGCAGACAGAATACCATAGGCTGTGATTAGATCGTTGTTATCAGATGAGATGCGGGTCTTAGACGCGGGTCCTGGAAATCTGAGCAGTGTGTTCCCCTGGAAACTTTTCAATATCAGCCACTGCTCTAATCTTTGTGCGATTGCTCAACATGTAATCTGTGATCAGGTCCTGTCCGTTTCATAAGTGAGCTTTCACTCACCTAAACTCGCCTTGCTTCTTTATCTTCTTTTATCTCACTCTATCTTAATCACAAATCTACATACTCTACGTTGGTAAGTGAGACCCGCCAGCTATTTGTGATCTGCAAAATGCTTTTCTCTCTTCAAGATGCTTGACCAATAACTTCTAACCTTTCACATCCTTCTCATTATCTGAGAGCTGACTGACGTGACTCTTACGAAGAAATCAATCGGCGAGAGAGGCCCACGCAGATTCTGATTGGATCTAGACAAGGGCATTGGCTCTCTGGTTGGCTTCCCAAGTGCTGTCACCGTGAATGAGGCGCATATTGAGAGCTCGTACAGGATACAATGAGCTCCTCTCGCAAGTCGTCAAACAGGCCGAAGAAACGCGTTCTGGTACGATGGGATGGTATACATGCCTTTTTCTCTCTGCCTTCGACACTCATTTCTTGTCGAGCCTTAAGCTAACAATTGAAGAAAACCTGAACGAGCTTCTTCTCCTGACTGTACAATCTGTTTGTAACATCCAGTCCGTGAAGATTCCATGGACCGAGGTTGCCAGCACTATGGGACACAATGTCACTGAGGGAGCTATCGTTCAGCACTTGGCGAAGCTTCGCAGCCGTAGGGTTGCTGCTGGCAAGCCTGTACCTCCGCCCCTGCGACGTGGCGGCCTTGGTGCCGCGATCAAACCAATCGGACTACCATCAGGCAAAAATACGCCAGACAGCAAGCCTCAGCGAGTCATCGCAGGAACAAATCACAATGGTGAAACGGGAGCAAGTGATTTCGCGGACGTAGATTCATCATCGGATGAAGACTATGTGGAGGGAAGAGCATCGAAGTCACGCAAGAAAAGAACCAACACAGCTGGCTCGCGGGCCCGACGTAAGCGCAAGCCCGTTGTCAAATTGGAACACGACACTGATGGATATGATTCGGATGAAGAAGATGAAGACGACAGTCTCTTGGTCCCCGGTGCGGAGTTTCTTGATTGCCCCAATAGCATGAGCTCACCCCCCGGGCGTCAGCTGGGAAGCCCCGAAGACGACCAACCCAGGAAGATAATCGTACTCAAGTATGCGCGACCTGCCAATCAAGCTTCTACTGGTGACATCTCGGAACCTGTCTTGGGTTCGACGTCTAACGATGCTTTCATTGCATCGGGCTATACGTTGCAACAGCAACCTGCTGGGGCTGGTCAATTCCCACTTCAGAGCCAAACCCCTTCGGCCAACCTATCTGACACTTTCTATGCGAACGCTGTGTCATCGACGGAGAACAATATGCACTTAGAGCCTGGTGATCCTGGACACCATCCCTCAACCCTCTGGTTTGACGACGCTACACTTGGATATCCCAACGCCGTTTATCACGGGCTTTCCAACCCTGATCTGGATATCGATTTCTCTGGAAACCATATAAGTAATACAGACCAGCAATTCGATCATTTGCTTGGCTATGACGATGATTTGGTAGGCTAGTTGTTGTCACTCCACATGACGCTCTTGACATACCAGCACTTCAATGTCTCCTTTTGTGTCGAGACTTCAATGGCTTGGTGTCTTTTTTATCGTACAATCAAGCACAGCTCACCGTCTGTTTATTCATCTCTGCAATGATCATCGGTCTTTCTTATTCTCTGCCAGTCATCATTCACTGATAGCTGGCTAGTTTTTCTTTTCTATCCCACAAGGAGTGCCTGGCTATTTTCACCTTGCATGGCTTCAGATCTAGCGCTTTAGGCCTTCCCTGACTTTGAGCCTTATTCCCCGGCGGCGGTTCTGACGTTGATAATGGTTCTGTTCTAATAATGCTACCAAAAACATCCCTGGTTATTGATGAATAAAAGACAACATGTTCAATACGATGGTTCTTTTGTAGATCGAGTGTGGTTAAGTAACTTATCTTAACTTACAGTACGTTTGTAAGCAAGGGCCGATCATCGGGCAAGTGTTCTGCCAGTGACATCCGACGAGCCGGGCGAATTCCCTCGGATACCCGGCGGCCACGTGATCTTCTAGGAGCTTCTGCCAGCCAAGACAATCCGGGGATCGAGAACCGCCTGGAAAATTTTCGAGACTTTGGCTTCATCACCATCTTCTTTCATCTCTTCCCATCCTCCTCTTTTCTTCTCTACCTCTTCTCTCCCTTTACCCATCCTTGCTCTGAGAGTTCTGATCGGGCTGATTCTGTTTGATTGACCTCATTATCTCTTTCTGTCTGTTTCTGTCTTCTATTAATTTACCCCCTTCCTCAAGATGCAGAGAGCTCTCGGTTCCAGGACTTCTGTCCTTTCCGCTGCTTCCAAGCGCGCTCCCCTCTACAGATCCTCCGGTGTCAACCTGCAACAGCAGCGTTTCGCCCACAAGGTATGCTTTTCTTACCTCACCAAGATGCCAATTCGAGTATGCCAATGAGTCAATCCGCAGCCTTGCTAATTTTGTGTAGGAGCTCAAGTTCGGCGTTGAGGCTCGTGCCCAGCTCCTCAAGGGTGTCGACACCCTTGCCAAGGCTGTCACCTCCACCCTTGGTCCTAAAGGTCGCAATGTCCTGATTGAGTCTCCCTATGGCTCTCCCAAGATTACCAAGGGTAAGCATCGCTCTACATTTTCACTCTCGATCAACAGAGATCATCCTCGTACTGACGTGTGTAGACGGTGTGAGTGTCGCCAAGGCCATCACCCTCCAGGACAAGTTCGAGAACCTCGGTGCCCGCCTCCTCCAGGATGTTGCCTCCAAGACCAACGAGCTTGCTGGTGACGGTACCACCACCGCCACCGTTCTCGCCCGTGCTATCTTCTCCGAGACTGTTAAGAACGTTGCCGCTGGCTGCAACCCCATGGATCTCCGCCGCGGTATTCAGGCTGCTGTCGAGGCCGTCGTCGACTACCTCCAGCAGAACAAGCGTGACATCACCACTGGTGAGGAGATTGCCCAGGTCGCTACCATCTCCGCCAACGGTGACACCCACGTCGGTAAGCTCATCTCCACCGCTATGGAGCGTGTTGGCAAGGAGGGTGTCATCACCGTTAAGGAGGGCAAGACCCTCGAGGATGAGCTTGAGATCACCGAGGGTATGCGCTTCGACCGCGGTTTCACCTCCCCCTACTTCATCACCGACACCAAGGCCCAGAAGGTCGAGTTCGAGAAGCCCTTGATCCTGCTCTCCGAGAAGAAGATTTCCGCTGTCCAGGACATCATCCCTGCCCTTGAGGCCTCCACCACTCTCCGCCGTCCCCTCGTCATCATCGCTGAGGACATTGAGGGCGAGGCTCTCGCCGTCTGCATCCTGAACAAGCTCCGTGGTCAGCTCCAGGTTGCTGCCGTCAAGGCCCCCGGCTTCGGTGACAACCGCAAGAGCATTCTTGGTGACTTGGCCGTCCTCACCAACGGTACCGTCTTCACCGATGAGCTCGACATCAAGCTCGAGAAGCTCACCCCCGACATGCTCGGTTCCACTGGCTCCATCACCATCACCAAGGAGGACACCATCATCCTCAACGGTGAGGGTAGCAAGGACAGCATCGCTCAGCGCTGCGAGCAGATCCGTGGCGTCATGGCTGACCCCGGTACCTCCGAGTACGAGAAGGAGAAGCTTCAGGAGCGTCTTGCCAAGCTCTCCGGTGGTGTTGCCGTCATCAAGGTCGGTGGTGCCTCCGAGGTTGAGGTTGGTGAGAAGAAGGACCGTGTCGTCGATGCCCTGAATGCCACCCGGGCCGCCGTTGAGCAGGGTATCCTCCCCGGTGGTGGTACTGCTCTCCTCAAGGCCTCCGCCAACGGCCTTGGCAACGTCAAGACCGCCAACTTCGACCAGCAGCTCGGTGTCAGCATCATCAAGAACGCCATCACCCGCCCTGCTCGCACCATCGTCGAGAATGCCGGTCTCGAGGGCAGCGTCATCGTTGGCAAGCTCACCGATGAGTTCGCCGGCGACTTCAACCGTGGTTTCGATAGCTCCAAGGGCGAGTACGTCGACATGATCGCCACCGGTATCGTTGACCCCCTCAAGGTCGTCCGTACCTCCCTGGTTGACGCCAGCGGTGTCGCCTCCCTTCTGGGTACCACCGAGGTCGCCATTGTTGAGGCCCCTGAGGAGAAGGGCCCTGCTGCCCCTGGTGGTGGCATGGGTGGCATGGGCGGCATGGGCGGCATGGGCGGTGGCATGTTCTAAGCTGCTTCTGCCGCTTCTGCTACTCCATTCTCGTCTCCTATTTACCCCTAAACCTTACCTCCTTGTTTCTGAAAGGTTTCTCCTTCAAGCGTGTTGTTGCATAGTCCGGGTTATATCCTGATATATGGTTTCTGTTTCTTTTCCGTTTTTTTTAATGTGTCGCATGTCTTCTCTAAATCCTCCTTCCTATCTTACATCCGACCCTATCCTCCTTTTCCACCTCTTCTCCACTGGATCGGATTCCAAACTCATACCATCTCCACTCCGCTATTCTGGACACAAAAGTTCTCACGGAGTCCTGTGTACCATACCATGTACTTTATGTGTAAACCACGGTCGTTAGCTCGGTCGTGGTGACTGCGTCAATTATACTTTAATCGTTCAAAATGCCTGTGTCCGATCAAATACTGTAGGACCTCGTCATAACGATCCAGATCGTGGGCTGGTATATCATCATATCTTTATCCTGAAATATCGCTTTATAGGTATAGTGTAGTTTCGCCGTCATTTTACCAGTAATCACGTGATGCTACATGACTCTTTGTATGAGTATTTGTACTTGTATTTGTTATACTCTCTAAATCGCACGTACCCAGAGTCTTCACACATCCCATGGGAATCTATTAGAGATAGATCTAATGACTCAGTCTGCGCCGATGATGCTCTGTATCACTGTCAATATCCGTCTCGGAGTTCGTTGGGTCCCGGGTTTGGTCATAAGGCTGAGGGGCACAACAAGGCTGATCGAGAATGGTTCAGTTAGTGAGCTCTTGGACTCAGCCGGGCCAAGTCACCTGCCCCGAAGGAGTCAACAATGTGTCAGATGATGGTGATTGTTGATCCCTCTGCTTTTAAGACCTCATCTCCCCTCTAGTCTGCAGGCACCTTTTCTTCGCACTTCACAATGTCTCCACCCTTCTGTGTATCCGGAAGGGAAGTGCATCATGGCAGTTCCCAACGATGAGCGGCGTTCACAGGTCGAGACAACAGTCGAGTAAGCAAACCTCGGTCTTCCCTGTTTCCGAAATACGAAGCAGGTCCTCACACATGAATATGAAATTAGTATTGTCGCCGTTCCAGCAATAGGCGCAGATTCAGAAAAGACGTGGATCGATGAGGGCGCAACCACGCCTTGGCTTCACTCCGAATTGACGAAACACATCCAAAATGCCCGTGTGATTCTAATCGACCATGGGCGATTGGGGCCCCAGGATGGATTGGAATCACTGGCGGACAGATTGCTAAAGCAGGTTCTCCAGAAACGCCAGGCGACGGTATGAATTCAGTATCTCTTTCTTCCATGGCTACATTGAAGCTGATCTGATTGTCTATGCCCAGAGCCCGCGGCGACCTATCTTTTTTATCTGCCATAGCACGGGTGGCCTGGTCGCTAAATCAGCGCTTGTCGCAGCTAGCCAGAAAACATCCAATCTTGAATCAATATGGTCAAGTTGTTATGGGATTGCCTTTTTGGCAACTCCACATTTTGGCTCGAGCTACCTCTCAGCACCCGAGTTTACCAACAGCGTCCACCACTTAATGCGACTGAAGCACCATATTCCACCCGGAATGCAAGAGATTTTCAGGCCAAGACATCCTCGTTTGATACGCCTTTGGAGCCAATTCAAGTCTATCTCAGCAGACATGAAGCTGTGGTCGTTTCTGGAGACGCTTGACTCGGAAATTAGCATCGTTGACCACGAAACCGGGACTGCTGTCGAAATGCACGTTCCCATTACCTCGATTCGGTCAGGAATATTGGATTTTGAGCACGAGAAGGTCATTCCTTTGACGGCCGATCATATTGGAACTGCTTGTTTCAGGGGTCAAGAGCTAACGACAAGGTTGAGTTTCATCAATGAGCTCCAGTCAGCTATTTGTATGGCTGTGATGCTGTCTAAGATGAACGATGCCCCCATGGATGTGGACCAGGAAGTCATGATTCAGGTCAGTGGATTTTTTGAAGACACGGCCCGAGGTGTCAGCGACGAAACACCGCTCAAGCTTTGGTCCACAAAAGCATCGCTGAAGGACTATCTCGCATCTGGGCCATCAACATGCCTCAAGGATCGACTTCAAAAAACGAACGGTATTCCTCCTGGCCTTCTCGATGATTCCTCGATTAGCAGCTTCGATAGTAGACCCACGTCCGCGCACATTCGATTGTCAATAGATGGTACTGTTAATCCCACCGCAGCACGAATGACTGAAAGGACTAGATCTGAGCCTATTATGCCAAGGCCGCCACTGAGAGAAAGCCGGAGCTTTGTAGCGTCCCTTTCTCCTCGGATACATGTCACCGAGCCACTTGGCGATGGTTACTTCGGTGTGCAGCAAGAGCCGGTCTCAGATTCGCAAAGCCCTATAGATCAGGCTCAACATGACGCTGAGACAAATAATACCAACAACGATGATGACATAACTGCTTTCAAGCATTTCTCGTGAGTTCCTTCGTCTTTACTTACCGTGCTTAATGCTAACGTGGCTCACGTATAATCTTAGAACAAGCTCGTCAAATAGATTTAGAACCTTCCTTCCAGTGCCCATGCTAGCAAGAGACAACCCAGACGAAGAACGAGCTGAAAAGCCGCGAAGGATACCTCGATTTGATCGACCAGAACCAGGCAGTGAGAAACTTCTCTGGATCCATGTGCCCTATACGCACACCGGATGGGTTCCTCCAATTCTAGCCCGGGCCTGTCGCGAGCAAGATAAGAAGACTTTGTAAGTTCTGGTATTGTATACTTATGAATCTTATTCTTCTGCTAACGCATGACTTGTCTGTTATCAGCTTTGAGAAGCTCGTGGATGAAGAGCATTGGTACTCGAACCTCATCAGAGCCCGTCATCTAGAGCCACATGCACGTTACGTGCGGCCGGCCTGCATCCATTTCAAGCAAGAACCGCACACGCCTTTGTGTGATCAGGAGGAAGAGCATGACCCTAGACTGGCACTATATGTAAGTCAAAATACCTGCATAAACTCTGTCCCTTACTGATGGACTTGCCGCCAGGTTCCCTACGTATGTACATCATGGTACCGATCCCTGGTAGTGTTTTCTAATTGTTGTTTAGCTTCATTGGGACACTTACTCGAATCTGGTCCATCGACGCAAAATGGTTGAAGAACGACTCAAGCAGGGCAGGTTTAGGCCCGTGCCTCACAATATCTCGACGGCGAGTCTAGAATCGAAGCTGATCTGGAAACTCTTGGGCAATGAGCCTCCGATTCATATACGCAGGACCCTGGATCAATTCGGATACCCAAACCTTAGATCGACGGTAGCGCGAGACGATGATCAGATGCTGTGGAAACGGACGAAGAAAAAGGTCAATTTGGGCGAGTTTAACAGCGCCTTACTCGTCGAGGACGACTCGGACAATCACGGCCCGTTCATGGATGGAAAAGTGCTCATGGTCGATCAACTTTGGCTTTGGATTGTCGACGAAAAGACTGTGGTGACATTCTTTCCTCATCAAGAAGCCACGACAGCCGAAGGAAAGCTCTATGAGCAATCGAACCTTTACAATAGCATCTACAATGAGTTGAATGGCGATTTGGCGAGACGATTCGAGACAGCGGGTGATCTTGCTGCCTTGATTGTGTTACATGCAGCTACTGTCCTGCTCGACCGAACGTTGCATCGCGATCTGCAAATCCTCCGCATCTTCGAAGAGTCCATCAGCATCCTGGTAAGTTCTCGGCCACTCGCTTCCTGGGACGCGTACGCAACTCACCTAGTCAGACTGAGTCCATGACGAAATCGTTCAAACGCTTTCGCAACAGAGGTTTCATCACGCGCCCTGCAGATTTCAACAAGAACGCCGATGGAAAGCCCATGACGGCCGCAGAGCGAGAGGAACGAGACCATGAACTAGCCAGTCGCAACCGCGAAGATCTCTCTACGTTACTGGAGCTGCGAGACATCATCGACGAGCTAGGCACCATCCTCAAGCTTCTGGACGTGCAAACCACAACCATCAAGACGATGTCCGGCTACTTCGAGCATAAAGGTTACGGGAAGGTATTCATGGAAACTTCGTTATCCAGACTCGACGACTACCGCAACCAGGTCTTGGAGATGAGGGAGAACGCTTCTCTTGCCCAGAAAGCGGTACGTTTGTGTTTCGCCCCGACAAACGAAGGCATCCACCACTAACCACCTCCTGCTCCTCAGGTCGAGAACCTCCTAGACCTCAAACAGAAGCAGGCCAATGTAGATGAATCCCGTCTCGCTCGATGGGAAGCAGAAGTCACGCAAGATCAATCCCGATCCGTGATGGTATTCACTATCTTCACCATCATGTCAGTCTCTTGCACCAGATCTCAGCCAAGAATATACCCATATCGCTTTTACTGATCAAATACTACATTACCACAGATTCCTCCCTCTCTCCTTCTTCACCTCCCTCTTCGGCATCAACGCCCGCGAATGGAGCGGAGAACCCACCAACCTCACCCTGGGCCAAATGCTCTACATCTCAGGTACAACTCATCTTCCAATAACACGTCTTTCCTTCTGCCATAGTTCCTCAGCACAACTACATTACCCAAATACTCGCCTCGCGTGCTTGAAAAGATGCCCGTACTCATCTCCTCCAACACCAACCCCTAACAAAAGAAAAACCAGGCCCAACCTCCTTCGCAATAATCCTCATCGCCCTCCTCGTCGCCTTCAACGAACGCCTCCGCGAAACCCTCTGGCGCGCCCAAAAACTTATCCTCAACCTCCTAGCCGACTCCCTCTTCGCCCCCGTCACCCTCGCCCGACTGCAGTGGCGCCGGATCACGCAGCCGACGAACATGTCGGCCTCCCTGTCAACGCTGGGCAGCGGCAGCGGCGGCGCTGAGGAAAGCCCGTCGCTCGGCGCCGGCGGCAGCCGGTTGCAGCGGTATCGGCGGAATCATAACTGGCAGAAACGGCAGTATACAGGGGAGGATGATTTCTGGCTACGGCATGAGGATAAGATGGTTGCGGCGCTGTCGGTGGCAGTGCCGGGAAATGGAATGGTGGGGGAATGAATTGCTGGACTGAATCTGCTGTATTCTTAGGGGTTTATGGATATGCGTAGCACTACTTGTTGCTACGCTGCGCCACCACTTGTAGCAATGAATCGGCTGCACCGACAAGTCCTTGCTTGATTCAGTCACTGTGACATTATACAATTCTGGATATATACTCGGCGCAACAGCCGCCGCACAAGATTCGTATAGACAGAGAGGGGGGAGGGGGATTTTTTCTGGGTCGCTCTATCGGATATATGATGTTGTACATGAAATCAGAAACCGTGTTGTACCAACAAAACAAAACACGGGCCCACCCTTTTTCAGCGCCATGCAGAAATGAAAGACAAAATGAAAACAAAATGTAGGAACATTTCAGAAAATTAGAGGACGAGAAATGTGTCTATGGTTCAGGCTCAATGCAAGATCACCGAAAGACAAAAAATGGCCAAGGTGGATAGAAGGGAAGAGAGCAGAGATGGTATCTGTGATCGTTTACCGAGTTCATCAGACAAGGGTATGTTGCACCAAGGTTGGCTGGCTATGGCCAAGCACTATGAGTGTATTTAGGGGAGATTTTCGCTGTGTCGTTGCGTTGCGCAGGATGAGGATGGATTCTGGGTATTTCTATTCTGAAGAGGGCAGTTCATCTGCAGATCGGGTCCGCTCGTTGACGTTTCGCGCCATCTTCTTTCCAAGCTCGTAGGATGAGATCATAATAGCGCAGGCGGGGGCGACCTTGAGACACCGTGCAACCCAGCCACGGAAGAGTCCCGCCATGCCTTCTTCACGGAAAATGTGCATCAGGAACTTCGGCAAGGGAAGTTGTTCGGGGTGTGGTGTCCCCTTCGCACGATCTCCGAGGGCGCTCGATGCTTCGTCGCCCATGTGTCGGAATACTTGTTGGCGTGTCTTTCCCACGTCGAACGGAGTGGTCACGAAAGCTGCAAGAGAGCCAGAGGACGCTCCTGCAATGAAGCTGTCGAGAAATGTCGGAGTATCGAGGTCGTGTGGTGTTTGGTGGCTGGAGAATGAGATATCGTGTGGCAGGCGATTCATGTAAGCCTTCTTGCGCGCCTCGATGAAGTAGCTCTTAACCTCTTCATATCCCCACCAGTATAAGCCGGAGAAAGGTACATCTCGCCACATGGTAAGAGTGAGCCCTCTCCAGAGCGAGCTGTAACCGTTGGCTTGGACCATCTGGTGTAACCCCTCAAGGGTCGCCTTGAAATGCCCTGCGCCTGTACCTGGAGTAGCTTGCAATCGCGTCCGGAACATCTCGATCGGACTGATCGCAGATGCAGCGGCCGTCCTTGCGACCGAACCTGCGACCAGTGGAGCGTATGCGACGGGGACAAGAGCTTTGATAGGGCTTCTGTCATCGGCTCGCAGCCAGTCGTAGCCAGCAAAGTAGATGATATTTGCCGGGATTCCCATCATCAGTGTGGGACTGAGTCCACGCCAGAGCGTCAAGACTCCTTCGTTTCGAGCAATTTTTCGTAGTCCATCCAGGGTTGAGGTGAACGTTCTGCGCTGAGTCTCTTCCACCGCGCACTCCGTCATGGATGCAGCGCCTAAATTACCGACACCAGGCCCGGCGACGCACATTTGTGCATTTTGACCGATCCAAAAGACTTCCCGACAACAAGCCGTAACCCCGAGGTCTGAAGGGACGTTTTTCAGCGAGTGTGTAGTGTGGGAGGCGAATGGGGACGTGTTCTTGACTGAGGATTGGGCTTGCAAGCGGACTCGGACGACATCGAGAGGAGTGGCTGCATGAAAGAATTAGCATTCATCTCAGGATCTGATAGAACCATGATGGGACGCGAGGTGGCGTACCTAGCAGAGCTGTGAGAACACTGCCGGTTGTGGCTGAAATCATCTTTTGAGTGATTGAAACATCATCGTGGATAGGTTTGGCGTCCAGAGCCGGGGGAGCCCCTGTTCCAGAAGTAGTCGCCATTGTTGAGGTTTCAACTGATTGCCATGACTCTGTCGAGCCCCCTTGTAAGTTGATCAAGTCGTTCGAGCGATATCGGTCTCCCGGCGCAAGCTCAGTTTGGATAGCGGACATTCAATCAACGCGATGGAGATGGGGGGGGTACGAGGGAACGTCTTGGCTGATTGTGACTCAGTCGGTCTGCACTTTGAAGTCACGTAGCCGACTGAAGTCTCTGAGATGGCGCGGGTGTGCAAGCAGCAAGGTAGGTATGAGTCGAGTGAGTCGAGGATCTGCAATAGACGTAAGAGGGGAGAAACAAATGCGTCAGAGAAAAAGAACGCTCGGGACGTCGGCGGTCGGCGGTGGCGGCTGGACCAGACACTAACAGGCTAAGGCCCGGAGATAATATTGATAAGCACTTGCTCCGTCCCTCTTCGACCAAACCCACCTTTTCGACCTCACATTCGATCATCAGTCGATCGCTGCAACCAATACAATGGATATCTGAAAGTTTTGACTTTGCGATTTATCAACCTCGGTGTCTGTCTCCGATCCCTTCAGATCTAGCCCATTGCTTCTCTAGCCGGATTCGCTGTCACGACGTTCTAAGCAAGTCCCGCCCTCAGCTGCTTATCGGTCTGGGGATTCGCTCGCCGAACTTGTCACAACTGTGAGAATGGAGGACAACGCCGAACTCGAGTCTTTTCGACGCCAGTGGCGCGAGGAAGTTGCACAAAAGACGAAATATACCCGGCCTACTCCTGCACAACCAAGACCGTCCAAGCCTTCGACAGCGCCGCCAAGTCAATTTCCACCTACCCGCCATGAGGCATCACAGCATGAGGAGGAGCACGAAGGGGCTGCCTCGATTGACCACAGTGAAATTATTCACGGCATGGGTCAACTAAGTGTGCATCCCTCAGATGAAGATGCTTTTCATCTTCCAGCTTCTCGACATGAACCCAAGTCGGCTTTAGAGCATTTTGAGCGAGCGGTTGAGAAGGAGGCAGAGGGGAAATTAGGAGACAGTGTACAACACTACCGCAAAGCATACAGAGTAGGCATCACCCAGGTGCTTAAAGTTCTGTCCCGATTGCTGACTTTGGGCTCCCTCCATAGTTGGACTCCGCGGTCGACAAGACATACCGTAACAAGTATTTCGCCACAGCGTGGAAGAAACCTACACAGGCTCCTACATTGGGCGCTACGACTGGCAAGTCAACCGATCAACAGACCCAAGAGGAGACGCTCACTTTACCGACTCCCGAGCTCATCGCATCTTTCGCTCATCTTCCGATCCCTCAAGCGGAACCGCTGATCGAGAATACTCCCCCTCCACCATGTCCTATATCCCACGTTCCATCAGAGGTTCTAGTCGAGATACTGAGGCATGTGGCGCTGATGGATCCGGCGGCTCTCTGCCGAATGGCACTGGTCTGCAAGCGCTTTGCTTACCACTTTGCACATGAGCAGCATATTTGGAGGCGACTCTGTCAGGGCACGGAGTTCGGCTTCAAGTCTATGCATTATTCATTTGCTTGCGACATTCACGGTAACCCGGAGCATACGCTAGGAACACGCTACACGCCTTTCCCCCGGTCGATGCCTGTTCAGATTCCTGAACCTCTGTCTTCATGGAGTGAGGTCTTCCAAGTGTTTCCCCGGGTTCGGTACACGGGTATCTACATTAGCACGGTCAACTACACCCGGCCAGGTGCTGCTGCTGCGTACCAGAATGTCTCCTGGAACAGTCCGATCCATATTGTCACGTATTACCGATACCTTCGTTTCTATCCAGACGGCTCCGTGGTCTATTTACTTACCACAGTGGAACCCCGCGAGGTTGTCCCTCACATCAGCAGAGAGAACGTCAAGGTCGCCCGAGCGACGACACAGAAACAACATCCCCGCCACACCTCGGATGCCACTGTAAGCGCCGAATCCACAGATGCCATTCCTCATGTCGCGCTGGAAGCGTTGAGACACGCCTACCGGGGTCGGTGGCGCTTGGCCAAGCCCGTTGCCGACTCTGACTCATCGTCGGAAGACGCCCAGAATGAGTTGCCCACTGCATATGAGTCACTGCCTGACAAGGCCGCCGCATCCCCATCAGATCCTCGGGACCTCATTATTGAAACCGAAGGCGTGGGTCCGAAGTACATGTATCTCTTGCAACTATCGCTCCGGTCAACTCCGGCAGCCAAGTCAAAGCAGCCCAACATCTCGCCGCCGAATCCATCGAAGAACACGAAGCTGGCTTGGAAGGGTTATTGGAGCTACAACAAACTCACCGACGACTGGGCTGAGTTTGGTCTCAAGAATGATCGCTCATTTGTCTTCCGGCGCGTTCGTGGATGGGGCTTGGACTGAACAGAGAAACGATTGAACGAGTTTAGATTGACGATGTTAATTCGACAAGATATATGTTGGCCACGTAGATCCTTCCTAGATACATATAAACCATGATCAATGTCACGAGTTTACAAAGCAGCATAACATATTCCACTTAAGCGGTAATGAGCTTCAAGAAAAAAAAATATATGAACGTATCCTTAACACATAAACTCAATCATAACCATCACATATCGATTTCAGCTCTCTCAATGCACACCAAAATACCCCCTAGCCCGACCAAACCCACTGTGAAGTGTGCTTATCAACCCAAGTCCAGCGGATCTCACCGCCAAGGGATCTTATCGATAAGGGACCGACCGCGGGCCCCAGCCAAAAAAATTTCGGGGAAAGTTTTGGGGAGGAAGCCCTTCTCTCCTCCGCTCGGAAGTCCGCCAGAACAATAAGCCCGTCGCAGTTTTACGCGACATGGGGATTGATTTGTGACCTGAATACAACTGCTATCTATAAATCTTCTACCCGGTGTTGAGCCTCTCTCTATACCTACAATCGCGACATCTTACGTCAGCCCGAAAACGCAAAATGCCCGAACGGGTCCGCACCGTCTTCGACGACGAGGACAACGCCATCACCGTTAGCAAAGCCTCTCCCTCGAATACGGAGGCCGAAGGAAAGGAAGCGCAATTACCGTCGGAATCTCCCCGCTCGAAACGGAAGGAATCCGAGGTCGATGCGAAGGACGATGGATTGAACAAGCAGAAGAGCAAGAAGAACAAGAAGCGGAAGGTCGAAGGAGGGAGTGCGGGGGTGAAGGGAGAGATGAACGGTGTGGTGGACGCCAATGCAGATGCAGAGAAAGCAGCGCTGCGGGCGAAGAAGGCCAAAAAGAAGCACGCTGCCCGGAAGGAAGGAGAGGAGGAAGTGAAGCCTAAGGATAGTGGAAAGCCACCGCTACACCACCGCAACAACAACACGACGGCGACGACGGCGACGACGACGAAACCGAAACACGGATCGACCAGGAACCACACCTACGGTCCGCTGCGCGAGAAGGCGCAGGCGCTCTACCAGCTGCGCAAGAACCTGCCGATTTTTCCCCACGCGGACGAGATCCGCGGGCACCTGCGCCGGAACGACGTGATGCTGCTGATCGGAGAGACGGGTAGCGGAAAGAGTACGCAGATCCCACAGTTTCTGGTCACGGAGAAGTGGTGTCGGCCGGTGAAGGCGATGATTTCGGAAACGGCGGAGGGCGGAGCGGTGGAGAAGGTGAAGGAGGTGCAGGTGGGCGGATGCATTGCCATCACGCAGCCGAGAAGGGTGGCTGCGATCTCGTTGGCGAGGCGCGTCGCGGATGAGATGGGCACGCCGCTGGGAAACTCCTCCCCGGCGAGTCGGGTCGGGTACTCGGTGCGGTTTGACACGTCGACGTCGCCGAGTACGCAGGTCAAGTTCCTCACGGAGGGGATGCTACTCCAGGAGATGCTGCATGATCCGTGGTTGACCAAGTATAGTGCCATTGTGGTGGATGAGGTGCACGAGCGCGGTATCAATGTGGATCAGGTGCTGGGGTTTTTGAGGAATATGGTATCGGGCAAGCTGGAGGGCCGAGGAGGAGTGCCCTTGAAGGTCGTGGTTATGAGTGCTACGGTTGATATGGAGACCCTCACGGGCTTTTTCCAGGAAGGGTTGCAGTCCCGGCGTGCTATTGAAGGGGCTACGGAGGTGAGCAAGGCGGCAGAGAGCCCGTCTGAGGACAAAAAGGAAGAGCAAGGCATCGCCGCGTGCCATATCAAGGGTCGTCAATTTCCAGTCAAGGTCATCTACTCGCCAGAGCCTGTCCATGATTTTATCGACGCAGCGCTCAAGGTGATCTTCAACATTCATTACAAAGAGCCTCTGCCGGGTGACATCCTGGTTTTCTTGACAGGACAGGAGACGGTGGAAGCGCTCGAGAATCTCGTGAATGAGTATGCAGTCGGAATGGACCCTGCCCTGCCTAAAATCCAGGTTCTGCCACTCTTCGCTGCCCTGCCCCAAGCTGCCCAGCAACGAGTCTTCCTTCCTGCGCCGCCCCGGACCCGAAAGATCATTCTAGCCACAAACATCGCCGAAACCTCCGTCACGGTGTCTGGGGTGCGGCATGTGGTTGATTGTGGTAAGGCAAAGGTCAAGCAATTCCGCTCGCGTCTTGGGTTGGATTCCCTGTTAGTGAAGCCGATTTCCAAGTCGGCAGCGATTCAGCGAAAGGGTCGTGCCGGTCGCGAAGCGCCCGGCTCGTGCTACCGACTCTATACAGAGAAGGATTACCTGGACTTGGATGAAACCAACACTCCGGAAATCCTCCGTTGTGATTTGAGTCAAGCGTTGCTCAACATGAAGGCTCGCGGTGTCGACGACATTATGGGATTCCCATTCCTGACGCGACCGCCACGAGAGGCTTTGGAGAAGGCGTTGTTGCAGCTGCTGAGCATTGATGCCTTGGAAGAGACCGGCAAGATTAGCTCGGTCGGGAAGCACATTGCCAAGCTTCCTCTCACGCCCACACTGGGTCGAGTGCTGCTGGCCGCTTCTGAGTTTGGGACGGATTGTCTGTTAGATGTTATCGATATCATATCGTGTCTCAGTGTGGAGAATATCTTTCTAAATACGACCTCGGAGGAAAAGAAGGAAGAGGCGGAGGTTGCGCGACGGGATCTGTATCGGAGAGAAGGCGATCATCTCACCATGATGGCTACAGTGCAAGCTTACGCTGCCGAGAACACCGATCGGAAAGCGTGGGCTGAGAGACATCTCGTCTCCCACCGGGCCATGCAGTCTGTTATGGTATTTTCCCTCTCGTGTGATTAGTGATGCGTCCCGGGTGTCGAATTTCCACTAACCATCACGCCTGCCACAGGATGTTCGCAAACAACTTACCGCGCAGTGCCGGCAAGCCAAGCTTCTCCCCAACGATACGCGGGGCTCTCCTACCACCAATAGCTCCTCCTCTCCGATGTTCATTCTGAAGAGTTTCCTTCGAGGATTCGCTACGAACACGGCGCGCCTCGTACCGGATGGCAGCTATCGTACGGTGGTAGGGAACCAGACGGTGGCGATCCATCCGTCGAGCGTGTTGTTTGGCAAAAAGGTGGAGGCGATCCTGTACAACGAGTTTGTTTTTACGAACCGTAGTTACGCGCGTGGGGTGAGCGCCGTGCAGATGGATTGGGTCGGAGAAGCGTTGTCTGGGTAGGATTTTCTTGGTACTCAGTAGACTATGTCTGCTTGCTTTTCCTAGTCTGCAGCCCCCCCAACCCTGTAAATAGATAGATGGGTGCAGCTTTCGATAGACCGACCTATTATACCCACCTTCTCCGATTACTGAAGTCGAATTCGTGTAGAAAGTGGGGTGGGCCTTGGCTGCCCCCTGACAGTCAGTCAGTCAGCTTTGCCTTGAACCATGCAGCGAAGATCAAGGATGACATGTCATTGAGATCAGAGGGCAGAGACAGCGGGTGTGGGATGATCAGCGCTGGGCTGATCCTTGGTTGAGAGAGAGGGGGAGGGTGACAGGTGAGTCTTAAGCGAACACAGAGAAACATGATTGCCTGAGAGTCATTTTGGAGTAAATTGGCGACGAGTTGAGGACAGATATCAATGCAGATTGAGCTGGAGATGCGATGGCGGACGTCCGTCGATCATTTTGATTCAGCCAAAATGAGGCCAATAGTCAATGGTAGGGTAGATGCGTAGGCCGCATTCGATCACAATAGTATTAACACTATTTGGGATCAAGGAACTCCTTTCATGTACTCCATACTCCGTACCATAGGTGTGGATGCGATAAGGAAGTTAATCATTGTCTCTTTGTTGGATTGATTACCAGTTGACAGCCAGACAGGCTGGAGACAAGTCGTGCCTTCTCTATTGGGTCTGGTGACATGCAATCATCATCCGTTTCTTCTTCGTCTTCTTCCTCTTCGTCTCTTCCTTCTGCTGGCTGCTTCGTCTTCCCCTCTGTTCACTTCCCTGCTTTCTTTCATCCTTCCTTCTTTTCTTCTTTTCTCCATTTTGTTCATTGCTGGATTATGCCACCAAATTAGGTGGCGGGGACGAGAAAGAGATCTCTTTCGGGTGGATGTCGGAGGAATACTCCACGCCATAATCTTCATTCTTATCTCATACACTCTCACCTCACCTAACCTAACCTAACCTAATCCCACGTCATCCGTAATTCATCATCAGCCCCGAACAATACACCGCTATCGGACTGATCATCTCTCATCTCCTGTTTTTTTTTCCCCTCCCCGTCTAGAAACCTTCTACCCCGTTTCAGATTCTACTTTTGCGACCGGCTTCTATTTCTCCAAATTCTTTCATACCTGGCAACCTCACTTTTGTTGCGTTTTCATCCTTTACCTACTCAAACTCGCCAAAAATTCTCCTTCTCGCGTTCGTCACGCGGGGAAGATCTGCCGCGATCGATAAAGTACCATCTTATCTCTCCTTCCCCCACGTACGGAGCCTCCGCCTCCCCCTTCAACTCATCGACTACACTGCACTGTCAACTCATGGCTTTTCGTTTACCTCCCCAAGTTCCCCGCCGTCGTCCTTCATATTCGCATTCCCTACCGTCTCCAGCGCTCGATATCCCTTCTCCTCTTTCGCAGCTACCGGAGCACGAATCGACAGAATGGGTGCTCTTCTCCCCGACTCAACAACCCTCCACTGTCGCCCGCACCCATACTACGTCCACTGATCGCACGCCACGAACATATGCTCGTTTGAGTGATTTTGGCTCTTTTGGCACGGCAACGCGATCGGCGGTTGGTCCGGAAAGCGAGGCGGAAGAAGACGCCCTCGATGAGCCCCTGGACGATGACGGCACCGAACTGGATAGTCTAGATGATGGGCTGCATGCCTTTCGGGCGCCATCTTTAGTACAAGACGACCCCGGAGCACCTGTCACACTGCCCGCTCATGACGGACTAGGTAGCTTCCAAGCCTCCAGCGAGACAGTACAACATCAGCTGTGGCAACACGAGCAATTTAATCCTCGTCGAAGACCCGATTTGCAGCCACGGCGGCGTTCAAGCGTACAACGTCAGTTGGACTCGATCACACGCGACGAAGAAGCCGATGTGGAGCGGGAACGATGGCAACGTATTGAGAAATGGCGGATGGAACAAAGTCGGGCGCTCTTGAACGAGATCGAGAAGGCCACCCAAAGACGCCGTGATAGCCGTGCTAGTCGGCTCAGCGGACAACCTGAACAAGTGGTTCTGCCTGCAGCGACTTTGGAGGAGTCTCAGACTCCTGCCTCTTCTTCGGCAGCAGAACAGGAAACTGACAACGATGAATCTCTATGGAAACGCATTACCCGCAAGGTAATTCAAGATCTGATCGGGATCGATGATTCCTTGCTTTCTGTCCTTTTTGGGGAGTCGTTGCCATGTATTGAAGACGACGAGATGCACACATCAGCGCGGTCGGATAGTGATTTCGACTTTAATGAGGCGATAAACCAGGAGCTGAATCCCACATCGGACCGAAGCCCGCCATGGAAGAACAAGCTTCTTCAGCGCATTGCTCGCGAATTAGGTATACTTGTTCATCAGCTCTGCGAGCATCCCGGTGCATTCACAACCTATCTCAACCTATCCGATGATATTCCCAATCAATATGCAGGCATCCCCCTTGAACGCCTCCCCGAAGAATACAATCGGTTATCTGCTTCAGCTGAGCCTGCGACTATGATCGAGTCAACAAACAACGCGGAATCGACCTTGTCGCCTCAGTTCACTCCCACTTTGCAGGTTCCTGATAGCCGAGAGCACGCGGCTCTTTGGGGTATTGAAGACGACGACGATTTGGGTCGTGGTAGCAGTGGCTCGACAGGCGATCCATTGTCTGAATCGGCACGTATTCAACAGGAAAGAGAATATTGGGAGCGGGAGTTAGACGTATCGGTGGTCTTCCGCTACCTACGTAATCGCTTCGGCCAGAGACCTACTACTACCGACTCGTTCCATAACACATCGCATCGTCCGCCGCAGGATGCTTCTCGCCGGGCCGCAATTATACGTCAACATCATCCTCTTGTTGCGCGCGCACACGCTCGCTCCCAAGCACAAATTCGACGTCAGTCCCAATACTCTTCCCATCATTCAGGACCGACCGGGGTCTCGTCACCCGTTCTCCGCCAACGATTCCGTCGCCCCAGCTCCAGCTGCGCAAGTCAAAGCGCGAAGATGTCTGCTATCTCCAGCCGTCGGACAATGACGGGCTCCAGTCGAAACTACTGGGACATTGGAGGGAGCATTGACAGCGGAAGTGCGGTTGCACCCGTCGCAGCTGGGGTTGGAGCTTGGGGCGACGTGTGATCGGTGTCCCTGAGGGTGTAGTTCTTGAGTTTCACATCACTTAATGCATGCTGGCCATCGAACGTATTACTAGCATTGTTTCAGACCGGGAGTCTTGGCTATTGTTCTTGGTGTTCCATATGTCATCACAACTTTCTGGGTTATTATCGTCTCAGTTACGAGTACATACCTGGGTGTTTTCCTTGTTGGGATCATCTTATCTATTTTCCGAATTTTATCATTATCATCACCATCAGCGTGGCTTTCTAGAGAGGGTATAGAAACGACTCATTAACTCATTAACGGCGAGGTCGGCAGGTGCATACTACCTAGGCGTGTGATACGGTTCGTCGGCGGTCGCAACAAGGGCATAATCTAGCGGGCGTCTGGATTAATACGAGATAGAAACCATTCATATGCGTTGATGGTGCATGTCCACAGAGCAGTCCAGCGAAGCTCATTGTCCTACTATCCAGTTGTTGCTGAGGAGACGCATCTATGGTTTGGCGCCTACGAAATGTAGCCGATAATTGAACTGACAATGTGGCTCGCAGACGTATAACTTATCGCTAAGTACAGTATGGCTACGGAGACCCCTGCTATATTACTCTGAATAAGGGTATACTATATCTCGACTAATAACAGTGATCATCAAACATGTAATGCCTCCAGCATTCGATACTTCTATGTCGCCTGTCAACGATTTGAAGATGGGGACGTTCTATATCCAAAAAGTTGGGGTAGATATATCCGTCCCCGCATAGAACCATGATATTTATATATGCGGGTTCCGAGGTTCCCTTGATTGTGACCGGAACTTACAACTCAGACCATAAGTGCTAGACAAAACCATCACTTTCAAACCCAACGCCTATACGAAGATGATAACAATCAGGTATATAGATTGCAGGTAGAACGAAAGAGTCCTGGTTGCGTGCATGTTGGGTCCGGACCATACTATATTTAAAATTTGACTTGTGTAGATCGATCGGGGATCTGATCGATTGAATTCATCTATACAGTATATATAGAGAGGCGGAGGATGCAGTGTGCGTCTGTAGACCTGGATTTCAAGTCGAACTCGTGGATCGATTAGCCATGGCTGGAACCGGCATGACGTGCTTGCGCACGAGGTATGGAGTAGTCTACAGAAGGCGGGTCATCATCTACGTCGTGAACTCGAGGTTCTTGCTCATATCGAAGAGATACAAATCCAGACACTAAGCTTAGGGGAAATGGTTCTCTTTCTTTCTCTTAAATGTGGCAGAAGAGGGGGGAATCATAATGGTCTCAAAAGGGTAGTTCCGATCACATTAGAAAAAAAAAAAGAAAGAACACGATGTAAAATGCTAATCAACATTCTTTTTCCCCAGCATCAACACTCGAACCGCACAGACAAAGAAATCTAAGCCTGGGAGAGGTTCTCGTAGGCGTCGGGGAAACGCTTCATGTTCTCCTCGATGAGACCGTGGCCACGGAGGAACTGGACGTAGGCGCCGTCCTGCTTGAGCTTGCCCTCCTGGCGGAGCTGGACGTAGTCCTCGCGGCGGACGGGGGTGAAACCCCAGTTCTTGGAGACGATGATCTTCTGGCGACCGGGGAACTTGTACATGGAGCGGCGGAGGGCCTCGATGGCGGTGGCGCGGTTGGAGTCGCGGGTGCGGACGGACAGGATGATCTGGCCGATGTTGACACGGGCGACGGTACCCTGGGGCTTACCGAAGGCACCACGCATACCGGTCTGGAGACGATCGGCTCCGGCGCAGGACAACATCTTGTTGATACGGATGACGTGGAAGGGGTGGACGCGGACGCGGAGGTGGAAACCTTCCTTACCGGCGATCTTCACGAGGTACCTGTTTTTTTCATTGATTAGTCGTCTGTGCTTCGGTGGAAATGGTGTTCTGTAGCAGGTTGGCGATGACAACATACTTGTTGGCGCAAATACGGGCGGCTTCGAGGGCCTCGGAGGACAGCTGCTCGTACTCGTTGGAGACGAGGTGAACGCAGAGGGGGAAGTCATCGACGTTGGCCTTCTTACGTCCCAGATCGAAGATACGGATCTTGGGGTCGGGAACACCACGGTTGAACCGGGACTTAGGGTAGGGCTGTATGTGAAGTCGATATGTTAGTTATTGCTGTTTCTTTTTTCCGCTTGTTTGCCTGGCATGCGAATCCCATTGCGATCCTCCTCTTTCTGCCTCGACGCGGTTGTCTTGTCCCATCCTCCTTCTCCACCCCACAACTGAGGCAAAGGTCCTCCCGACCCGAATCACACACACACACAAAATCCAATACCAATATTGCAAGCGCACAGACAGCTCCTTTTCAACGCACCTTGTTCTTGCAGTAACGGTAACATCTCGCGGGACGGCGGGCCATTTTGACGGTTGGGAAGTTGGCTTCCTGGGGGGTGGGTTGTCGAGAAAGGTGGTGTCGGGAGGTCCAAAGGGAGAAAAGGAAAAAGGTCTTCTCGCGGGCGGGCAGGAGACTTTCGACGTTGATTTCCAAGCAATCCGTCCGCCCGCTACCGAGTGGCGCAGCCCTAAACCCTAGCCTCTCTGCCAATCACCGTCCGCCCTGGCCCATGACGCATTTGTCAGAGTCGGAGACATGCTGACCAGTTGTCGCTTTCGTTGATTACAGGATCAAAAGATCTTTGGATTTCTAATGACGGAGGCGTTAAAGATGGTGTCATTTGAGTCAGTCAGAAGGAGAGCTTTTGGTGTTTGTAGTTGTTGAGTCAGAGGTGAATGATTCTTGGCATTTGGTTGGTGACTGCACGCAAGTCCGTCCCGCTCGGTACGCCTACGCTCTTACAAGCAAGATTCTGGCCCATTCTTGGCCTGTTCCTACGCGGCATTCTATGGCCTGTGCACATCAATTCGGTGAAAGGATTTTCTTTTCTTGTCATTATCTAAAGCATGTCATAACGAGTGTCGCATCTTGACGACATTCAACACATTCAGACATAACATGGAAAGTCATTGGCATGATCCTTGCACCTACTGGCTGGAGAGGATGTCGGAGTCACCAGCGTCGAGGATGGTCATGGTGCTGGTGCGGAAGAGCTTACCGCAGGCAGTACCAAGCTCGATCTATAGTGAAAAGTCAGTCACCTGCTCCAAACCGTGACACTGCCGTCTTGTCATATTGCGACTACTGCACGACGGCGATTGCATCAACAGGTGCTACTCACGTTGTTACCAGAGAAGTGGTGAACGGGGGTCTTGGCAAGCATGGCATAGTACTCGAGCTCACTCTTGCGGAGAGGGGGAGTGTTGGCAGCGATGATGACCAGCTTGGCCTTGCCGGAGCGGAGGGTCTTGATGGTGGACTTGTAGCCGAGGGTGACTTGTGAGGTGATAACAGTTAGCGATGGTCATGGATATCAACATCTTCAAATTTGCAACATACCCTTTCCGGACTTCATAACAAGCGCAAGGCGCGAGTTGATGGTGTCACCGGTCTTCTTGCTCTTGGGGGCCATCGTTACGCTGTCGAAGACTAAACTTCTGCGTGATCAATTTCAATCAGCAAAGGTTCGCTCGGGATTTTTTTTTTCAAGCCTAACGCTAGAATGAACAATCACAATCGACCGAAGCCAGATAAAACTGGCAATGGTCAAGGGCGAGTCGTTCCCTCAGCCATGGCTTTTGGTGAGAAACCACATACCTAAAGGTTGAATGTGGTTTTGTTGTAAAGAGAGTGCGCTCCGGCCTTGTCTTGGGATGGGGATAGAATCGAAAAAGCCTGTTACCGCTCTTTTTTGTGGGTTCGACAAATCGCGGATCCCACTTCTTCCGTTCCGACAGCAATGACTAAGGCACGTGATCATCTGGCATCGTTGGTATCGTGCCGGCCATCGACACGTGATACTTTTCCCAAAGTTGGGCTGGCCGCAGAATAGCCGACGGAACAACCAGCCTGGAGGTTATCTTCGGCGCCCTGTTCCAGCGATCGTTTAGGCATGCACTGTGCCCTGGTACCAAAATTCACCTAATATCTGTAGCCGAAGTAGTTCCGATATGGCTGAGGTTTACGAGTATTCGGGCTGTGTGTCTATTCAGTATCCTTGGGGCCTGTGTGAATTAGACCCGCTTTCATATGCACTCCGCGCGTGGGCTATTGCCATACTGCATATACTATAAGAGATTGAGACTGGTCCAAATTTGTATATGCAACACAAGAGTAACTAGAACAATTAGACATATTCAACAGTTAATAAAGTAAAGACAAGGTGAAAGTATGCCACGAGTCTCATTCCATATGACAAGATTGGCTAAGATGAAGTGAGCTTGAAGTTTGCTTGTCGAGCTGAGTACTGGCATTCACTTCATTGCGAGAACTTCCCGCAAGTAACTACTGGCTCCGAGTATGCCTTTCCCATGGTATCGTCGACTCAGCCGCCAGGGTACATAATCGTACTCGTAAGCGCTCCTTGACCCAGGAGGCAGTGGTTAATCCTACCGTGGCTGATGTCATTAACCGAACTATTGACGCCGTTGGCGCTGCTGTTTGTGAACCGCGGTAACCTGCAGAAAGCAAATATGGTACCAGATCGATCTTGAATCAAAAGAAGTTAATGGAGAAATGTAAGAACACATGTAATGCTGCTTGAACGATCGGAGCATACAGGGCAGGGTTCTGTCTCTGTAATCAAGCAGCCACTGCGATACGGGTCGAAGTTTTCTTGAAACCGCAGCTGGTCATGGCCCAGTTGAAGCCTTCCGGAATGTACAGTACATGGATAATTGGAGGACGCTCGTTGCCCTTAGCGGAAAGTAGATGGTCATGCCATCAAAGAGGCTGGCGGGCGTCAAGACTCAGGGGTTGTTCGCACTTGGAAGCACAGCCGATCCTGGAAAATTGAATAGACGAGATTAGACAGGAGAGTAGGTTCCCTAGTGCTAACAGTTTTCGTTGGTGGATAGACCCTCGGACTGTGCGAGAGTGCGGATAGTATACAACGGGTTGCCTAGGCAGTCAGTTGACGGAATATACTACGGAGTAGCACCCGGTCGTGTCTTAACTGCGCAATAGCGCCTGTTTCTGCTGCCTTGCTGGCTGACATCGCATCATATAGTCATTGTATCGTGGGATAGCCTTACAGTAATGCACAGCCGGAAGTGTAACGCAGACGTGGGCGCAGTTGTCGGCATTTTTGGATTTCCTCCGCCCCCTGACAAGCGGGTATTCATGATTGGGTGGCAGTCGTGCGACGGCCAGACCCTGGCTGCAGCAAGGAAGTCTCTAGGGGGGGATGAAGGGAGAGAGGGGTGATATGAGAGTGGCTGCTATCTTTATCGTTGCCATGTGTCGATTGGGTTCGTGTTGTTGTCGTCCAGGTGAGAAAAAGTTGGTTGGTTGGTTGGTTGGGGCATCCGTGTTGTTAAGGTTGCCCAGTTCATATCGTTTGATCCGCATTCGGGCACTATTTCCATCAGGAGCGGACGTTCTCTCCACATTATTGTAGCCCAGCGGAGATGGTCGAAATGACAAAGAAATGAGAGTTCAATCTAGCCAAGTCATTCAAATGAATTTAATAAATTTCTCCAGGCGTGCGAAGACTTCTTTGGCTGGAGGGTTGAGCGCTAGAAGAAGAGTGACTTCATGATGGGATTATGGGATTATTATGCTCATGGGGTCCTGTGAGTCCCCAGGCCAACGTAACCTGAACTTACCATAAGTTACCAGTCAAATATGGTCAAATAGCGGTCTTGTACAGTACAATACGGTAACAATCGTGTCCATCCCATCACCCAGACGGACAGACCAAGACGGCCAGAGACGGCCAGACAGCCGCAGACAGACAGACAAGACAGAGACAGACAAGACAGATTGATTGTGTCGCATGCAATCCTCAATTCTCAGATTGATTATTAGTTGTTACTTTCTCTCTCCCCTCCTCCCCCATGACTTTCCTCAAACACTCTCCATGCTGATCGCACCTAATCCCTAACTTTCTTTTCCCCCTATATCCACCCGGCTTACATCCGCGCAACGGTTTCCTCTTTCTCCATCCTTGCGTGGTTTTGTTCTTGAACGCACCGCACCGTCTCTCTTTCTCCCTCGACGGTGGCTACTTACTTTACTTACTTAGCTTAGTTTCCCCCCCCTCTCCGTTGCCCGCCCGCCATTCGAACCCGACCCTTTCCCCCACCGAGATAGTTACCTAGTGCGCCCACTGTTTTGACCGCTACTACAACTGTGACTCGGCCTTCCATTCCTTAAATTAATTTCCCGGCTGTTTCACAGCACTACTCTTTTCCCTCCAAATCCCCAGAGGCACTTTTTTCTCCTAACCTTCCCCCTTATCTGAATTGCCTCGCATTTCTGGCCTCCCAAACCGTCGCTTTCGGTCAATTTGCCATTGTCCGGTTGAATAGGTCAACATGTCCGCGACGCCTCGCAAGCCCAGTATTCCGGGCAGTGCCAGTGCCACCAAACCTTCGACTACTGAAAATCAGACAGTCAATGGAACACCTTCTAGAACCCATTCCCGCTCTCCTAGCACGGCATCAAATGGCGTTACTCGTTCGCCTTCCCTCCGCTCGTCTACGCCCGTCTCTGCGCGCGCTGCAGCCCGGAAGCCAGGCCGCTCCAACCTAAGCACGTCAAGTGCTCCGAAGATCTCACCCAGCCCCTCCGATGAGGAGGCACGAGCCCAGAATGCGGCACTTATTGACGACCTGAAGGAACAGCTGCAGAAGGCCGAAACGGCCTCCGAACAATATCAGAAGCAATTAGGTGTCCTCCAAATGCGACTTGACGAGGCAGTTAGCGAGCAAGGCAAATTGGAAGACCAGGCGCACGAGAAGGACAGCAAGCTCGATGCGCTCAACGGCGAGATTCGGGACCATGTGCGCCAGATTCGCGATATGGAGCAGGCTCATGAACAAGAGCGGAATGCCATGCTGCAGGAGAAGGAGCAACAAGCAAGCCGGGAAGAGGAGATGCAGGCGACGATTCAGCGCCTGAAGGAGTCGTTGGCTCAGAAAGAGCGGATCAACTCCGATGCAGACAAGAACATGTCTCGCTCATGTATGCATTCATTCCTGATCTTTTCTCGCTCCATGTGACATTTCCTGACCTTTTCATAGCGAGTTTTCGTAATCGGTCGTCTCCCGATCTTGACGGACAATTTGCGCCTTCTTCTCAGATTGAGCGAAGCCCCTCGCGGAACAACTCGAATTTGCTGCTGCAGAAGGATAAGCTGATCGAATCCCTTAGACTCGAATTGGCCGAGTCCCAGATCAAGCTTGTGGAGATGGAGAACCAAGGCGGCGGCCGACAGCGGGAACTCGAGAAGGAGCTTCTGGAAGCTCGCATGGCCAACGCTCGTTTGATGGAGGACAATGAGAGCTACCAGTTGCTTCTGAGTGAGCGAACCTTGAATGGCGATTTTACAAAGGGTGATTTCATGCGCGAAGTCCACCCTGACACTGCAGACGAGACCAAGGACGCTGGCAGCGGTTTGGGTTCGCTGGCTGATGAGCTTGAGTCTGTAGATGCAAGAGCTGAAACGGACAACACGCGCAAGCTCGAGGCTGAAGTCAAGGCGCTCAAGGACCAGAACAAGGCCTTGACTCTTTACATCGAGCGGATCATCAGCCGCCTCCTGCAGCATGACGGGTTCGAGACTATACTCGACAAGAACGAGAACGATCCGCCTGCCAAGCAACTTCCTGTCGGGCACAACAAGGATCTGCCTCCCACTCCTTTGGAGAAAGAGGATCCTTCCTCGCAGACCTTCCTCCAGCGGGCCAAATCGGTTGTCGCGGGCGGACCGAACTCCAACGTTCCTCGTCCTCAGACCCAGCCCCGGTCACGCCCCACCAGCTATATGCCACCTCCGACCAGTGTGCCCACCGCCCACGAAAACCCGGAGACGGCCCCTAGCATCCCTCTGCGTGCCCAGTCAATTCGGGGTCACCGCCGGACTAGATCCGAGCAAACTGATGTCAATGTTGCAGCAGTCGTTGGACAGATGTATCGGGGCCGAAACTCGGGTGGCCCTATCAGCCCTACCTTGATGGGACCTGGATCACGCCAGAGTGCTTTCTCTAACGCAAGCTACATGTCCAGCATGAGTGCTAGCCGTGCGCCTTCGCTTTCAAGCCAGCCCGAGCATAGTCGCTTGAGCAGCTCAGACAGTATCACTAGCGACCATGCCGCTGAGACCGCTTCCACTGGCGCTACCTCCAGCTCCCCGCGCTCCAGCAACGGTATGACCAACTACACGGGTGCCGTAATGACGCAGAACAAGTTGCGTCCGTTGCGCCTTGTCAGCGAAACTACTAGATTGGCAGAGGAGGAGGAGGCTGCTCGGAAGAAGGCCAACCGTGGAAGCTGGATCCCTTGGTTCAACCGCCCGCCTACCAGCGGCGAAAGCCAATCCCCTATCTGATTGAGCCGATGCCCTGATAAGCTCAGGCCCGTCATCATACCTCATCATTAAGTCGGAAACTCGATTGCATGAGGAAACATCAGTATCTCTTCTTCATTAATAGTTCCGACCTATTTGCCTGCCTTATTCTTCAGTTCTTCATCTGCATGACCTTTCCGGGATACTTCTCCGACAGTCACCATCTTACTGTCTCCCGCGCTTACCTCATTTCTTTTGGTGTTGATCATCATCATGGTGTTCGAGCTGGTTATGGGCCCAGCTTGCCCCGAGTTTATGGCAAGTCTGGCGCTTTTCGCAACCCAACCCCTCTTTCTGAAGGAGAAAATGCTTTGTTTTACTTTTCTCTGCTATTGGTTATGTGATAGACGACCCACACACCCTTTTGAACCGGAACGATGTGATGAATGCCCTGGCTATTTGGGAAATTGTTTTTAGGTCACTCGCTTCTTCAACACCATTGTATACTCGGATGGCCAGCGAGATTTGCCCCACCATTATTGATTCATGCCCCTCATTGTTTTGATGAACATACATACAATTGCGCTTATATACATCCCCCATCGCGAGTGGAATGGACGTGTTTTACGAGGCCCTGCTTGTTCTCCCTTTTCTGATGTGCTCGTGGCACTTCAATTCTTGTACCATAGAGTAGATAGGAACACAGTTCTACAACATTCTGTCTTCAGCTACAGCTCTCCATCGTCTTCTCTGCCTTGCTCCACCAACATAACAGACTTAGCTTACACCTTGGATTGACCGTAGTGTTCTCCATTCTCATTTCCATATGCCACGATGGCCGGTTGAACACATAGTATGACGTTCTTGCCATCCAGCCGTTGGTCATACTCATCTAATTGGTGTAGTCGGTGTGCGCACATCAGGCCGTTTGAACTCTGGAACGTTGGAAGCTGTTTTAGGGTGAGGCAACGCAGGTCTGTTCGGGTTGTCCACAGTGGCAATGCCAGGTCGCCAGCCATTCGATCCACAGTTTTGAGGTCCTTGAAGCGCCTGCGCTCTTCGTCTTCATCCTCAATTGAGCGTAGAATGTGCCCGCCTTCAAAGTTCAAAAACTGCGCAACCATTGTGCGACTAAAATGATTCAGTTTCTGAACAAGCAAATCACGGCTCGGGTGAGGGCTATCCGTGAAAACTTGTAGCGTGTGTGAGCGCTACATATGGGCCTCCGCCTGGTCCACTGAGACGCTATTAGCAGGCCACAAATCATGTTGAAGAGAGGTTCGAGCTACCAGTTTTTATAACGGCGTACATATGACCTAGTTGCGCAGCACTGGGCCAGGTATTGCTTGATCCGACGAATGCGAAAAAAGGGTTCTTGAACATTTCGATCATTATACGCTTCGCTAGCAGCGCTTACATCAGGAGTGCCGGAATTCTGTTCTGAGGAAACGCCAATCTCTCAATAAGTATATCCCAGTCAGAAGTGGCACACGTCGTTCCTAGAAGTTGCAGAATTGTGGTCTTGCTTTTGCGTGGGATTTGGTCTAGATCGGCAAGAGCGGAGGCACTGTACTTCCTAGCCCACGAGCGGATCTGATCCTGCAGTGTTTCGAATTTGGCCCTGATCGTGCTGTCCTCCATGGAAACACATCTTCTCTGAGACAGAGATAAAATTGCGGCTTCCTGTACACACCGGAATTTGGACTCCAGGTTCGACAGTTCTTGCCTGAGAGCTCCGTTTATGGCTTCAAGTTCCTAGGCTCGTCGGAGTTGATTGTCACGCTCATGTATAGCCTGGTCTCTTCCTACTTGTGACTGCTGTAGTTTGAACTCGAGCTGATAGATCTCTCTCATGAGATTTCCGGTGTCATGGGAGAAGCTGGTTCCCATTGTTGCGATGTTATTCCTGAGCTCTATTAGCTGCACAAGGTCGTCTTCGGGGAGGCCTTTCTCGCCCAACCTTTCAGTTTCCTCACAGGGCAGATCCGAGTTTGTCATGTGCTTGTTACCTGGCTTTAGCAGTGTGTCTGACTGGCTGTCGAAGTGGGATCGTGCCTGGGTCGTGAAAGCCTGTCGTCCCTAGAACGATCTGAGTTCTCGCAGCCATTCAATATCTCCAAATAGAAGTGGAAGAGAACGCACACCTCCAGGATCTCAGAAAGCTTTTTCATGAACCAGGGTGAGAAAGAAGATACCCGAAACAGCTAAGCTTCATATCGCCTTGGTGAGGTAGAATTGGATCTTGACTATACTTGCTCGACTTGAGCCAGCTGACATCTATTCACTTCCTTCCGCTTGGATCAGCATGATCTCATGTAAAATCAGCCACAGCCACACCCACGTCCATGCCCACCTTCCTCTTTCCTTCTTCACCTCACTCTTAATCAACCTTTCAGTTGTTCTTCATCCCAAGATTACCAGCACCTTTGAGTATCTCTAGTCGACCAGTCTGGCCATGTCACGTCGACAGTCTTCCCAGGACCTTCCAAGCAGAGAAAACAAAGCACAGCCCATCCATGTCGATAAAGAAGGAAGAAGGGTCCTACAGAATTACTGTGGGAGTCGATTACGGCACTACATACACTGGTGGGTCTAATCCCATGACGAATAGCCCAGGCTCAAACAGAAAGAGATTTAGAAACAGCCCGGCTTCAGATTGTGGAATAGCACAACTGGGGTTCTCTCAAGGCTTGAGCTAGAGTCTCAGCTCCTGCTACTTTACTGTGTGGTCTTATTTTATGGCTAATAGGCTCTTTCCCAGGGCGTGAGCTATGTGAGTAGCACCAGCACGGATCTCAGAGACATCAAACATATCCGCAACTGGCCTGGTCCAACCAAAGAAATCGAAATTGTCTTCAAGGCTCCCTCCCGCATTGCCTATCCAGATGAAGATTTGCCACCTGCGGTTCCAAAATGGGGCTATGAAGTTCAACCCGGCATGACCGCGTACTCTTGGACCAAGCTCCTGTTAGACAGCGATACGCCGTGGACTTAATATGATGATTCTACTCTGGAATATGCTTCTCAGACTGGCATCCTTCAGTTGCCACCTGAACGAACAGATCAATTTGAGGTACTCAGGGGCGAGCAATATGGAACCTTGACGCCTTTGGGTGGTTTTTCGCTCGTTGAACTATCTGGAATATTAACATGTAAAGCAGCCTGGTGCCGTAGCCGTAGTACGGAAGGATATAGTTAGTGGCCACTCTGCGAAAACAAATTCCTCCACTAAGTATCCTTCCTGCAGCGGTGATTGCTTATAAGACTCACTGTAAGTAACCCTGGTGATCGCGTTGGATCATGTGGCTGGATTACTCAGGAACGCCGACAATCAGCTGTAGAGGTTCTGGCCAATGGGTGACTCGTGACCAGCCCTCGGCCAAGACATGCGAAGCCACTACGTTTATGTTTTTACACAAATATAATAAACTGGAAATCTATGTTAGTGAACTAAGAAGAAAAAAGCTGTATATAGCCAAGGCATTACACAAGGAACTACACAAACAAGGGGTTTCTACACACGAGGCTGTTCATACAAGCGAGGCCTTTGATATAAGCAAGACTGATTACTTATACAAGTAAGGCTGTCTGTGTGAGCGAGGCGGTTCAAACGAGCGAGTGAGGAATGATACAAAAACTTGCGGTCGTGCCAGCCCTTGCGGCTATAGTGGCTGTAGCGAGCGAGGCTATTTCTGCGAGCAAGACCATTAATACAAGTAAGGAACTGCAAAAGTACTCCTACAAGAGAGGCTATTCTTGAAGGTAAGACCTTACAGCAAAAACAAAAGAAGTAGCTAAAGCCCGAATCAAATACAAACCACATAGTTTAATTCGGCAGGCTACTGTAGGTACTTAAAAGCCTGTGAAATCTACTAATCAGCACAGCTGATCACTCATTCCCCGATAGTCAGTCCCTAAGTAGGGCTCAGCACATACATGCTTCGCAACCAAGCGCTTAAGTAGGTCTACAGCTACTTGAAAAGGTGTTTAGAAAGGTGTAAGTACGGGCTTGCTAAGGGCGCGTTGCAACCCACCCGCAGGTCAGGCGCTCTTACAGTTTTCAAAGCTTGTCTATACGGTTCTAAGAGCCTATCTACGGAGTATACAGCTGCTTGAGGGCTTGTTTACACAGCTGTTGAAAGCTTACACAGCTACTAAGTGACCTACCAAGTACACTTCTTCCTGCGTATTTTTAAAGCAGTATCTCTGCATCGATCCAAATTTAAAATCAAACTCTGCAGCTGGGGACGGATTTTTATAGTCATTCAGACACCATCTGCCTTCTAGCTAAGCATGAAGCTATGTAACTGCTTAGCATTCGTCACCGTTGCTCGGGGCCTTATAGAGCTGCGAAGCCAGCATTTCGCAGATTTCTAAGTCAGTGAAATAAGTTAAGACTTGCTAGCAATACCACAGTCGTTAGACTCATCAAGATACTCTTTATACTCATCTCTAATAATCTTAACCATGGTTCTTATATCTTGGCCATGAATCACTACGTTCTTCGCTTCAATGTATAGTGTAGCCCGGAGAAACATTGACGCGGCGGCCGGATTGCGGCCAGCTTGTAAATAGTACGGAGGTGTAAGGACTATCGGAGCAGTAGTCATCACTCACCCCATCCTCGAATTCAGTCGTTCTCTGGTCCATTCGCCCACCATGCCTGGCTCTCTGTCTCTCTTCTCTGTCAATGCCGTCCTTCTCATGTCGGCTGACGACGGGTCCCGCATCTTAGCCAAGTACTACTCCCCTCCTCACCCCCCGGCCGGCGCTGCCCCCAACTCGACCGATTATCCCGGAGCGAATCCCTATCCCACCGTGAAGGAGCAGAAGGCCTTCGAGCAGGGTCTCCTCGAGAAGACGAACAAGCAGACCAGCGATGTGATCCTCTACGACAACCGGATCGTGGTGTTCAAGATGGAGAGCGACGTGATGCTCTACGTGGTTGGCAGCGCCGACGAGAACGAAGTCTTGCTCTACAACGTTATTCTGTCTCTGCGGGATGCCCTCGGAATCTTATTCAAGTACGTTTCTCCCTATTCAGGCATTATTCCCGCGGACCAACGTGTGACTAAAATGCCGCTTTCTTTCTCTTTGCAGGGGTGCAACCGACAAGCGCACAATCGTCGAGAACTACGACCTGGTCGCCTTGGCCATCGACGAGATCATCGACGACGGTATCATCCTCGAAACGGACCCCGTTCTGATCGCCTCGCGCGTGAGCCGCGCTCCCGCTCCCGATGCGCCCAACTTGAAGAGCATCGATTTGTCGGAACAGGGTCTGCTCAATGCGTGGGAATTGGGCAAGCGGCGTCTGGCGGAGGGTCTGCGGCAGATGTAAAACTGGGGGAGACAAGAGATTATACCGGTGTTTTGATTCTCATGCATGAGGGCGTGGGGTTCTGTCGTCTTCGTTTTTCTAATATGTCTTGTTCATGTTCTCTGGCTGGTCCTGGCGTTGTATTGATCCACACGATACTTTTTATTTTTTACAACCTTTCTTTCAAAAGATATATCTTCGTTCTTGCTGGAAACCTCTGTTTTGGGGGGATTTGACTTATAGATACTCCTATAAATGTTCTTTCCATGTGGAGGGAGAATTGTGAGCGCTTGATTGCGGTAATGTGAGCTGAGTGCAGACAAATTACTGGCCAAATTCATCGAAGTAGAATACATACTTCATTTGCATGAGGTATAGTTGTCCTATTCAAGGTATAGTGCTAAGACCTTGATTAGTATGCGCACGTGCGGAGTTCATCGAGAAGATAGCGTTCGAATACTATGGAAAAGCGATACAAACCATAGGCGAGAACTAGCCCCGCATACGTCACGCCCGCTTCTCCGCCGTCCGAGAGGGACAATTTTCAGTAGCACTCTTTGGACTTTGTCGAATCGCTTTCTTTCCCCCTTCCTCAGCGCACCATCAATTAACAGATTTCGGGGGAACCAATCAATACACCTATACCCCAAGATGAAGCAGAGATTCTCTTCGCTGGATGTCAAGGTCTGTCTGTTTTGTTCTCACCTTTTTGACTGTGCACCCTCTCTTTCCCCCGATCAGCTCCCACGTATCTGACCGATGTACTGTACCTGTACAGGTCATCACCCAGGAACTTGCCTCGGAGCTCGTCAACCTCCGAGTGTCGAACATCTACGATCTTTCCTCGGTAAGTTTCCCTCTTTACTCAGTCCTAGGATCCCAGCTTCAATCCCAATCTTACCCTTTTTGTCCCACAGAGAATCTTCCTCTTCAAACTCGCCAAACCCGACCACCGCAAACAGCTCGTCGTCGACTCCGGCTTTCGCTGCCATGTGACGCAGTACTCGCGCGCGACGGCCTCGGCGCCGTCGCCCTTCGTCACGCGCATGCGCAAGTTCCTGAAGTCGCGGCGCGTCACCTCGGTCCAGCAGCTCGGCACGGACCGCGTCATCGACTTCGCCTTCAGCGACGGCCAGTACCACCTGTTCCTCGAGTTCTTTGCGGGCGGCAACATCATCCTCACCGACCGGGAGTACACCATCCTCGCGCTGTTCCGGCAGGTCGCGGCCGGCGACGGGCAGGAGGAGGAGACGCGCGTCGGCTTGAAGTACACGGTCGACAACAAGCAGAATTACCACGGGGTGCCGGATATCACGACGCAGCGGGTGCGGGAGACAGTCCAGAAGGCTAAGGATTTGTTTGCGGCGGAAGGGGGCAGTAATGCGCCGAAGAAATCTAAGAAGAAGAATACGGATGTGCTGCGGAAGGCGCTGTCGCAGGGTTTCCCCGAATATCCGCCACTGTTGCTGGATCATGCGTTTGCGGTGAAGGGGTTGGATCCAGCGACGCCGTTGGAGGAGGTTTTGAGCGATGATGGAGACTTGTTGACGAGGGTGGTGGAGGTGTTGGAGGTGGCTAAGGCGGAGACGGACAACTTGTCGGTCGGGCAAGGGCATCCTGGGTATATTGTTGCGAAGGAGGATACGAGGACGAAGGCTAAGGAGGCTGCGGAGGAGAAGGAGGACAACGAGGAGGCATCCGGCAAGAAGCCGCCGGCGCTCCTGTATGAGGACTTTCACCCGTTTAAGCCGCGCCAGTTCGAGGGCAAGCCTGGCGTCACGATCTTGGAGTTTGAGAACTTCAACAAGACCGTCGATGAGTATTTCTCTTCCATCGAGTCGCAGAAGCTGGAGTCGCGGCTCACGGAGCGCGAGGAGGCCGCGAAGAGAAAGCTGGATGCTGTACGGCAGGAGCATGCGAAGCGGATTGGTGCCCTGCAGGAGGTCCAGGGGTTGCATATCCGGAAGGCGGCCGCTATCGAGGATAATGTCTACCGGGTGCAGGAGGCGATGGATGCTGTCAATGGTCTGATTGCGCAAGGAATGGACTGGGTGGAAATCGCGCGTCTGATTGAGATGGAACAGAGCCGAGGTAACCCTGTTGCGAGGATTATCAAGTTGCCTCTCAAGCTTCATGAGAACACGATTACGTTGGTGTTGGGAGAGGCTGGCGATGAGGAGCAAGGCGACGGCGAGGAGCTTTTCTCAGATGACGAAGACGAATCCGAGTCGGAGGATGAGAAGGAGGACGATGAGAATTTTGAAAAGAGGGCCGATGTATTGGTGGTTGACATCGATCTTGGGCTCTCCCCGTGGGCGAATGCGACCCAGTACTACGAGCAGAAGAAACAGGCCGCCGTGAAAGAACAGCGGACGACGCAGTCCTCTGCTAAGGCGCTCAAGAGCCACGAGAAGAAAGTCACGCAGGATCTCAAACGGAACTTGAAGCAAGAGAAGCAGGTTCTCCGCCCGGCTAGAAAGCTTTTCTGGTTCGAGAAGTTCCTCTTCTTCGTTTCTTCTGAGGGATACCTGGTTCTCGGGTAAGTGTTTCAAAACCAGTTATCTTGAACTATCTATTCTGACTAGGACTAGTGGCCGTGATGCTATGCAGAGCGAGATGCTATACCGGCGGTACCTCAAGAAAGGCGATGTCTTCGTGCATGCGGACCTTCAAGGTGCTACGCCAATGATCGTCAAGAACAGAGCGGGCACGCCTAACGCGCCTATTCCTCCCAGCACACTCTCTCAAGCTGGCAATCTATGTGTTGCTACATCGAGTGCTTGGGATTCCAAGGCAATCATGTCCGCTTACTGGGTCAGTGCCAGCCAAGTCTCCAAGACCGCTGAGGTGGGTGGTCTTGTCCCCACTGGAGAGTTCGTCATCAAGGGCGAGAAGAATTTCCTGGCCCCCTCCCAGCTTGTCCTAGGATTTGCGGTCATGTTCCAGGTTAGCAAAGAGAGTCTACGAAACCACAAGCTACGCCAGTTCGACGAACCTGCGGCTGCGGAGCCGATCGCCGGGGAAGGCGATGCTCCTGCAGCGGTAGCGGAAGGCAAAGAGCCTTTTGAGGAGAACTCCGAGACGGCGGAAGCTGATAAATCTGGCAGCCCTGATGAACCAAAGGAGCAGGAGCAGGAGCAGGTCTCGGATTCGGATGAAGAAGCTGAGGAAGATAAGGCTATTACGGAAAGAAACCCGCTACAACGGGGACTGTCTGAGCCAGCTCAAGCGGAAGCCGGCAACTCTAATGATGCTAACGACAGCCCGTCGGATGACGAAAATGCCGAGGAAGAGGGGGAGCAGGAGCAGCAGTCCCCTCAGACGGAGAAGACAGCTGCGGATGAGCCTCTGCTGGAAGAAAGCTTAGCCTCCACTGAAGATCAGGGCAAGCGACAACTTTCCGCTCGAGAGCGTCGTCTTCTTCGAAAAGGACAGCCACTCGACTCCCAGGATACTTCACCCAAGGAAGCCGAAGGAAGCTCAAAGAAGCAGGGGCCGAACGGCGCACCGGCCAAACCTACGAACACCAAGCAAGCGGGCTCCACTCGGGGCAAGAAGGGCAAGGCAAAGAAGGCCGCGGCCAAGTATGCAGACCAGGACGAAGACGAGCGGGAGCTGGCACTCCGCTTGCTGGGCGTGAACAGCGAGAAAGCTGCCAAGGCCGCTGCAGAGGCGGAAGCCAAAGCCAAGCGTGAGCAGGAAGCCGAGGCCCAAAAGAAGCATCGCAGAGCCCAGCATGAGCGCGCAGCGGAGGCCGAGCGCAAACGACAGGCTCTCTTCGAAGGCGGTGCTGATGACTACGACGAGGAGACGGCCGCCGCGGAAGCTGCGGATCTCGAATGGATTCCTGCCATGATCGGAACGCCTCATCCTGACGATGACATCCTCGCGGCCATCCCGGTGTGCGCTCCCTGGGCTGCCCTGGGTCGGTACAAGTACAAGATCAAGTTGCAGCCCGGTACTGTGAAGAAGGGAAAGGCTGTCAAGGAGATCATTGGACGATGGGTCGCCGAAACGACGACTGGCAAGGTCAAGAAGGAGCATGCTGAGGACGCTGGCATTAACCGGGCAGCAGCCGAGAAGCTCCGCGAGCGTGAAGGCGAGTTAATCAAGGGGTGGAAGGATACTGAGATCATTAACTCAGTCCCTGTGGGTAAGGTACGCATCATGACTGGTGCAGGAGCCAGCGGAGGTGATAAGGGCAAAGGGAAAGGTGGTGGTGGTGGCGGCGGCGGCGGCGGGAACAAAGGAGGTAAAGGAGGAAAGAAGAAATAGGTTTTGAGCGATTAATCCCGGACCATTCAATTCCCCTCAGAGACGATGAAATGCTCTGATGACATGGTCTCCATGCGCACAGATACGAAACTAGAACCGTGCACTCCTTAGTGACTAAACCCAAACTCTGGTATAGATCAATCCCTGGGGACATTTTCTTATTACTGCGACTTTCTCTACTCTTTTAACATGCTCAAAAAGCGCTTTCCTGTCACTCAATGCCATCATCTATCAAATCCCGTGATATCCGTTCCTTATGTTGCATAGATGATTCGTTTATATTGCAGCTGATATCGATGTGCCGCTCAGTCCAAGGCTCATCTTGTTGTAACACCAATGACGTGTCCATACGGAGAAACAAGCATTGCCGGACTCGAGTCCCACCTTGTGGCAACTTAAAAGACAATAATAAGGCTTGACTAGAGCAAGATGATATCAGAATAATCGAATATCAGACCAGACCGACTGCATGTTGGCTGATTAGAAACCGGACCAGGCCTGGATGCCTGCGCTTAGTCACCAGGCAGCCGACGTCATCGCGAATTTTTTTGGCGCGAAAGTCTCCTTTTGATGACTCGAGAAATGACATTTGACTGCGCTGTTCAGCCAAACTGTCCCTCGGGCCGAATCCGTTCAGTGGGGAAAAAGAGCCAGGAGAAATTGGATCCAATCTGACATATGTGAAAGAGTGAACGAATAGTTCTGCACGCTTGTGAGTCTTTCCCCCCCCACTTGGAGAATTTTGTCGACCATATTGACCCAACCCCGCGACTAGCCTGCTCTTTCTCCCTTATGGTCTCGGATATCGATTGATATCCCCCTTGTCGGTTCAAAGTGGTGTTGTACCTCTCTCGTCTTCTCGCTGGCGGGTTCCCGCGCAGCTTTGTCAGGTTCGCTTCGTCGTCCTCGTTTTCTTCTTATTCCACCACAGCCACTATGCCGCCCAAGCTAGACACGCGGATCGTGTCGGTTCGCCGACTCAACAAGGAAGGTCCTGGTGAGCGATCACTCGCGCAATGGTGGGCCGATGAATGCAACAACAACACCCCCGAAGCGGCTGCGATCGAAGAAGCCGCACAGCTCCTGCAGACGAGCGACATCCCGGTCGCATTTCCCACGGAGACAGTGTATGGACTAGGCGCCGACGCTACTCGCAGTGACGCCGTGCAGGGGATCTACAAGGCCAAGCAGAGGCCATCCGACAACCCGTTAATCATCCACGTGGATTCCCTTGGAATGCTGGAGCGCATCCTCAATCCCGTCCATCACAGTCCCACGCGGGTCACAAGCACCGCTCAGAACAAGCTCCCTGCCATCTACGACTCGGTCATCTCCCGCTTCTGGCCCGGTCCTCTCACAATCCTCGTTCCAAACCCTTCCGGATCCCCCCTTGCGAACGAAGTCACCTCGAACCTCACTACCTTCGGCGTGCGGATGCCATCGTCGCCGCTGGCACGTTTGTTGATCCATGTCGCAGACCGACCACTGGCGGCCCCCTCGGCCAACGCCTCCACGAAACCTTCCCCGACAGCCGCAGAGCACGTATACCATGACTTGCAAGGCCGCATCGAGCTCATCCTCGACGGCGGCCCCTGTGGAGTCGGAGTGGAAAGCACAGTCATCGACGGGCTCTCTGATCCCCCGGCTATCCTTCGTCCCGGGGGCATCGGCATCGAGGAGTTGCGACAATGTCCGGGGTGGGAGAATGTGCAGGTCGGATACCACGATGGCACGCTCGATGTGAAGGAGGTGCCCCGTGCGCCGGGCATGAAGTACCGACACTACTCCCCCAAGGCTCGGGTAGTCCTTTTCGAGCCCGAATCCGCCGACGAGGGCATCCGAAACCACATCCGCAAGGACCTGGAGGACTCAGCGATTGGCGCGCATAGCATCGGGGTGGTGCGTACGCGCAACTGGAAGCAAGGGATGGGACTGGTCTCAGAGGAGGAGATTCAGAGCGGGTTGAAGCCTGTCGAGAGCTTAATGGAAAATCTGGTCTCGTTCCCTGTCCCCGTTGAGGATAAGATCAAGGCGTGTGTGGTGACGAAACAGACCTTCGACTGCCATCTCGGCCCGGACATCAAGTCGATCGCCCAGGGATTGTTTTCAGCGCTGCGGGCGATGGATGAAGTAGAGGTGGATGTCATTTATGTCGAAGGGGTGCCTGATCAGCAAGGTGACCTGGCCGCGGCGGTGATGAACAGGCTGCGGAAAGCCGCAGGAGCCGAGCTTCGGGTCTGAGTTATGACGATTGGAGTTATTCTTGTTTGCTTTCATACATTTAGCTTTTTTTTTAATTTTGGCATCTATCTTTGGGCGGTCATTTTTTGGAGATCGTTAGACGAGCATAAATTCTAGATACGATTCGTTATGAACAGTTTGCTGGTTTTCAAATCCATTTCTTAGCTAAGTTAGAGGTGCATGTGGGTTGCAGGGCTACCGAGTATAGGGTTGATGGTACATCAGCTTTCAGTTGTGCTGCTTGTTGAACACAAGAGTTTCGTAAGCCTGAATGATCCGATCTGATAACCTTAAAAATGCAGATCAGCACGCAGTTTTCAGGGAGTTGGGGCTTGGGGTGGGTCGGGTGGGCTGACGGACGGAGTATGAAATCCGGGGAAACATACGCGTACTGTATGTGCATCCACGGAGTTCATGTCTTAGAACTTTCGTGGCAATCGATCCCCACCTGAGAGTCTTAGTTGACTGTTATTTCTTCTTTTCGTTGGCCCCCCATCAGACTCCGTGATGCTGCTGATGATTTCGAGTCAACAGGTGCCGTTGGACGCCTGTGAACGTAAAACGTAAACCGAGGCACAACTGGCGGTGATAATCGCCCAAAACTGGGACGGACGACAATCAAGAAATTACCATAATGAATCATCCTAGAGTTCCGTTTCCTAGACAATAGCTCCGCGTGTGTCTCACTACTTACCCGATTATCGGTGGCGGCCAATCTCTCAACCTCAAAAGCCTTCTTGAATTCTCGCATTAGCACGGGATTGAGCCGTCAGGAGGGCCAGTCTTATGACAGAAATGATGAAGAACGAAGTCAACTGTACCTCTCAGGTAATTTGAGCACAAATTCATATCCATGGCGACAATCCGAGGCCACGGATGGACCAAAGACGTTCCCATATTCAATAAACCACATAACCAACGCTTCGTCGAGCCAATAACCTAAACACTTTTGGACTTGACTGCTGTAGGCAGAGATAGAATATCATCGTGTAGCTACCAAGACTAGTCTGTTTTGCCTTTGTGTATTTTCACCGGCTGCTGCCAATTCCATACTGTACCGGCGCGGACGAGTCTCAATAGCACTATCTATTTACACAGCCACAGCAGGATTCAATTAAAGGGTTAAGCTAGCGAATCCTTTTAACACTGGCTTTCATGGACATGATCTGATCCGGTGTGGGGCACCAGGGGTATTGACATGAAGTGGTGCTATTAATGGGATGGAGGTAGCTTTTCAAGGGTTAGTGCTTACTTCTTCTCCACTTGCTGAGCGATGCGGTCCCCTACGAGGTAGAGTCTGTCGCACTGATACAGGAATGGCCCGATACCTTGGTCATAACCGAGTGGATGTGCGGAGTGCTGGGGACACAAGGTCTTAGCTCATCGTAACTGATGGCTGCCCACAGCGCATAAAGCTGAAACAAAGCTAGGCCACAAGCACGACAGCTTGAGTCGAGGGCCTTTGCTTGACCTGATTTCGACCAATTACCAGTTAGCTTGAGGGTATGAAGATGAACTACTTATCTGGCAACCTAGGAGGATTTCAATTGAGATCTGTGGAAGGTAAACTGGGGATGCTGTTTGACGCTTGATCTCTGGATGAAGTTGATGGAGCCAGGGCATGGATTCTATCTCAAGGCATCATTGTCGCCCTTCGTTGCGACTGGTCTACCCTGCCAGCGGGAGCTCAGATTTTAGGCAACCCTATATTTCTGCAGTAGTGGACGCTAGAAATAGAATCAAAGCGGATTCATTGTGTATCACCGCAGCAGGAATAGCATCAACAATGGATTATTGCAGTCACCTATTCCAGTGGTAGAATGAGGACGAACCTTGAAAGCTTCAACCTATATCAGTAAGCATTGATCTCTTGCTACCTTCTTCCAATGCCTCTTCAACCCCATGTCACCTTCCACGTTCCTTGTGTTCCTTGTGATCTCTTTCTCCGGGTTGCTATAAACCACCTCAAACAAATATGCACCTGCAACTCTCATTACTTCTTCTATTGCTGCTTTCGGCAAGTCGAGTGGTTGCTGTGGCTGCACCGACTCCGGCGCTGACTCCAGCCCCTACTCTTCTTACTCCTTCTACAACGACCAATGCTGGTCTTCAGCGAAGAGCCACTGCCACCAATGACTATGACCCCCATATCACAATTGACATTCCCACCATCTCCATCAAGCCCTTTAGCCTCAGTCTGTCGCTGGATCTGCCGTCCAACACCTGCACCCCGACTATTTCTCCCGATGCCAACGGCTATGTTCCTCCTGACCAGTGCAATGCCCTGTACCAGTACTACCCGTCCTTTGGCGCCGCACTCGCCTTCTCCGTTCTCTTCGGCGTCTTGATGATCACCCACCTTGTTCAAGCCACTATCCACAAGGCAGGATTTGTTTGGGTTATCTTGATGAGCGCGATCTGGGAGTGTGTAGGGTTCGTCACCCGCACGCTGAGTACGCGCAGTCAGCAGGACACGACTCTTGCTACTGTCACCCAGTTGTTCATTCTTTTATCTCCGCTATGTACGCACACGCACACATACTCTCTCTTTCCCAGATCCAGATAAGCGTATTAATCATCTTTTTAGGGGTTAATGCATTCGATTACATGGTTCTAGCTCGAATGATCTACTTCTTCGTGCCGGACCGTCGAATCGGCATCTTCAAACCCTCCTTGTTAGCTATGATTTTCGTCCTTCTGGACCTAGGCTCCTTCGTCATCCAATTGATCGGCGGTACCATGGCGGGGCCCGGAGCGGACAATGCGACGATGATGAAGGGAATTCACATCTACATGGGCGGGATCGGAATCCAGCAGTTCTTCATTGTGCTTTTCCTCTTCATCGCCGTCCAGTTCCATCGCCAGATGCTCCACCTTACACGCCAGGGTCGCCTGGTCGGCCCCAAGGCCCAATGGCGCGGCTTGCTGTATGCCCTGTACACGAGTCTGCTGTTCATCACCGTGCGCATCATCTACCGGCTGGTGGAATTCTCGTCGGGCAACGACGCCTCCAACCCCATCCCACGCCATGAGTGGTACATGTACGTGTTTGACGCCGTGCCCATGTGGTTTGCCATCGTCGTGTGGAGCATCGTCCATCCGGGGGCGATCATCAAAGGGCCCGACGCGGAGATGCCCCCGAGCCCGCTGCGCAAGATCGGCTGTTGTGCTTGCTGCAGGAAGCCAAAGAATAAGCACGGCATGCGGAGAATACCGGAGAATGGCGATGTCTTTCAAGAGGATATGTTGCCGTTGCATGAGCGGGATGCTTCTTCTTACAGAAGTTGATGGCTAATGCTTGAAGGTCAAGTAGAGGTCGGCATTTCATTCGCTCTCATTTGACGCTATGTTTTGATGGTTTGGATATTGTCTTATGCTTACCTTTCGTCACTGCCACCGGAGTGCAAAAAAGAAGGTCGGCGGTTGAGTATGACTTTGGTCCATCGTGCACATCTTCCCACACTACTTGAAGTATATCTTTTGAGATCTATGTATATACTAGCATCTGATATCTGATCCCATCTTCAGGATAATGATATAGTCAAATCTGCACACGACGAGGCGCGAGAGCATTCGTGTTCGAATGTAATTCTAAATCCTGCAAACCTCAAGGGTCTACAGATCCCGGTATTTTCCCAAAACCGACGAAATCCGGTCCTACTCCCCGCTTTCTTTCGATTTTCAAGTATAAATGCCCTTTCATCCCCCTTTCCCCTCTAAAGTCCTTCTGAATAGTAGCTGTGGCGTATGATTTATGGTTAAGGGTGACAAAAGGTGATGACATGCTACCTAAGGAGAAAATTCTCCGTCCGCCGGGCCATCGGGCGATTCCGACTCGGTATCTGACCGAAGTGCGGGCGTGCCTGAAATTCTCACCCGCACCAAACAAGCTTATCATGGATCGTGCTTCCAGAAGGGCTGCAGAATTCCGCCCTGGTGGATCGCTGCCGGCCAACTGCAATCCACACCATTGACTTTATTCCGACTGTGACCCAATTGAATCCACCCGAGTCGGACGAGCAGCCATCTTGGGAGACCATCTCCTTTGGATTTCCGCAAAAATGGAGCCTGGTGCAGGCCTTATATACAGATTCTCCCGCAAAGTCGTTTCCTTTCTTTCGTGATTTTCTTTGCTGTTTTCTTGCTAGGTACTTTTTTTCAAATCAAGCATTGCTTCTGTCCTCTGAGATACCCTTTTCTTTTCTTCAATCATAAAAAAATCCAATATGTGTCAATCTTCCTGGCATGATTTCCTCCTTGGTCTTCCCAAGTGCGAGCACCACGTGCACTTGGAAGGCTGCCTCACCCCCGAGTTGATCTTCCAACTGGCCGAGAAGAACCAAGTCCAGCTGCCTGATCCCAAGTCTGAACCCGCCTACGAGTCTATCGAGACTTTGACTAGCAGATATGGCCACTTCAGCTCCCTGGACGATTTCCTCCACTTCTACTTCATCGGCATGTCCGTGCTCATCCAGGAATCCGATTTCGCCGATCTGGCCTGGGCCTACTTCAAGAAGGCTCACGCGGACGGCGTGCACCATGCCGAGGCCTTCTTCGATCCTCAGGTACACCAGGACCGTGGCATTCCCTACGAGACCATCGTGGCCGGCTTCGTCGCCGGCTGCAAGCGCGCCGAGCAGGAGCTCGGTCTCTCTACCCGCCTCATCCTGTGCTTCGTTCGCCACCTCCCCGTTGAGTCTGCGAAGAAGACCTACCAGAACATTCTCGACAACAACCACTTTGAGACCGAGGTAGTCCACGGCCTCGGCTACTCTTCCTCCGAGGTCGGCCCTCCCAAGGACATGTTCCGCGAGATCTATCTGTCCGCATCGGCCAAGGGCGTTCGTCTCACCGCCCATGCGGGTGAGGAGGGTGATCCTACCTATATCACCGCTGCCCTCGAGATGGGCGCGACGCGCATTGACCATGGTATCCGGCTCGTCGAGGACCCGGCCCTCATGGAGCGTGTGGCTCGCGAGAACATCCTCTTGACCGTCTGCCCTTTGTCGAACGTTCAGCTCAAGTGCGTGAAGACGGTGGCGGAGGTGCCCATCCGCAAGTTCCTGGATGCCGGTGTCAAGTTCTCTCTCAACAGCGATGACCCGGCTTACTTCGGTGGTTACATCCTAGACAACTACTGCGCGGTCCACGAGGCGTTCAATCTTACTGTGAATGAGTGGAAGACGATTGCCGTCAACAGTGTCACCGAGAGCTGGATTGGTGAGGACCGCAAGCAGGAACTGCTGCAGCGGATCGATGCTCACGTCGAGAAGTTTGCTACTCTGGCTTAGAGTATAAATGTCGGTAGACTAGAATTTCATATAGATTCGGTACATATAATGAGATGATGATGCGCATGAATTATTGCAGTCTCGTAATGCTTGAATTAACCCCCTCCGGTAGGCGGGAGCGAAATGCAGATACTCTTGTGAATTTGCTGAACGGGCTATGTGATCGTCTGTGAGCCTTGCGACGTGAGTCTGTTGTTTTCTATCGTCAGATTTAGATTAGTAACGAACATTGCAGGGATTGCCAAGCTTTTGAGACCGTGAGGACGTCACTGTATCAGCTGCGCATCGGGCAGATGAAGTCAACCGTGTAGCAGACCCCTGGTGAAGCTAGAACAACCCCTCATGCCAATGTTGGGCCGTCCAGCTTTCCGCGCGATTGTATCGCAGCCTCTTCTACGCCACTTCATCCAGACCTGCTCATCCTCGAGTTTAACCCTCTCAAGATCAACCTTTTCTTCTACCGCATCTAAAGCTGCTGCTACCACCTACCGGTACCCCACTTCCATCGAGGCCTCCCAGCTTCTACGCAAACCCCCAACCTTCCAATCCCATCGTGTCCGAAATATGGCCACCCAGCATATTCCCGACCGCTACAAACTCGTTTTCTTCGTGCCGCACTCCCACCTTGATGTCTGCAAGGATGCGGTATTCGCTACCGGGGCTGGAACATTTCCCGGCGGCAAGTATTCCAAATGCTGCTTTCAGACACCGGGCACCGGACAATTCTTGCCAGGAGAGGGTGCCAATCCCGCAATTGGCGCGGTCGGCGATGTGGAGTATGTCGAGGAGATGAAGGTGGAGGTTATGTGCTTGGGACGGTCGATCATGCTGCAGGCTGTGGAGGCTTTGGTGAAGGCCCATCCGTATGAGGAGGTTGCGTATGAGGTTTACAAGATGGAGAATGTGTGATTTGATCTGGAATCGAAGAATGGACGTGCGGCGTGACGAGGGTTTTTCGGAAGGTTCGCGTTTTCGGAAATTGCGAGGTAGTGGCTGTCATTAGTTCTAGGATAAAACATCGCAAACGTTGGAAAAATAATTAAGCCTCGCTATAAAGTTGGAAAGCTTCTCGAAGGGAGATGGTGAAGTTGAATGCATGATGCTTGTCTAATCGCCATGATGCTGCTGAGTTATTCTCTTTTATTGGCACAAGGCGGGGAGTAATCTGTCGGCGGTGATTGGTCAGCTGTAGCTTCCGCAAAACGCCTCTTCGACTCCAAGTCGAGCGCTCACCTTCTATCCACCAGATCGAATCTCTTCTGCTCGCCCCCAATACCCCTTCAATTCTCCCCGTCGCTACCGGCAATGGCTTCCAAACTCTTCCCCGCCGTCCCGCGGACTGGCCGCCAGCTTTTTCAGAACTTCCCCAAGACTCAATTCAGACCTTTTTCGGCTGGTCCGCAACGCTGCAGCGACTCCCTTGCCGTGGTATGTGCAATTGCATCCGCCAGCATGGTCACCATCCTGATTTCGCGGTTGTATCGGATAAGTACTCGGTCACAATCGCTAAACAGGAGAGACCGTCGTTGTGGTTGATATAATTGAGGCTAATGGTTTGGTTTCACTAGCACCGCAACAAGCCCGACAACAACCCGTCCATCCCGTTCAAGTTCAACGACCAGAACCTCAAGCTCATCGATGAGATCCTCAAGCGCTATCCCCCTCAGTATAAGAAGGGTGCTGTTATGCCCATTCTCGACCTGGGCCAGCGCCAGCACGGCTACACCAGCATCAGCGTCATGAACGAGGTCGCCCGCCTCCTTGAGATGCCCCCCATGCGTGTCTACGAAGTCGCAACTTTCTATACCATGTACAACCGTGAGCCCGTCGGCAAGTACTTTGTTCAGCTGTGCACGACGGTAAGTTCTGAACCCATGCCATTGCTCAAACCCGGCGCAGTCACTGACACCCCGCCTACAGACGCCCTGCCAGCTCGGCGGTTGCGGTAGCGACAAGATCGTCAAGGCTATCACGGAACACCTGGGCATCACCCCCGGACACACCACCGAAGACGGCCTTTTCACCTTCGTCGAGGTTGAGTGCTTGGGTGCCTGTGTCAACGCCCCCATGGTCCAGATCAACGACGACTACTACGAGGATCTCACCCCGGAATCCATCAAGACTCTCCTCACCGCACTCAAGGAGTCGGCAACCGCTGCCGAGGCCGGCCAGTCTGTCAAGGTGCCCGCCCCTGGCCCGTTGACCGGCAGACAGACCTGCGAGAACAGCGCCGGCCTGACGAACCTGGTGGACCCCGTCTGGGACCCGGAGACGATGATGAGAAAGGATGGAGCCCTGGATCAGCCCGCGCAATAAATGAAGGTCAGCCTATAATTTGAATACAGTTTTTTCGATGCCGTGCGTTGGAAGGTTCGATAATTTTCCCTCATGTTTCCCCTTTTCATCGTTCTATATCTTATTTCCTTTTCATTTCTAAAAACATTCCTGGCCGGTAAATTTCAGACACGGCAACTCGGATGATGCTCATGTACAGTACGTTGTGCTTCATATTCGCTTGCTTCCTGTTGCGTAAGGAGGAAAACCGGGTCATGGTGGGAGTCATTTGATCTGCCATAGAAGGTTTTGTTAGCACTATCCAATGGAGTCTTTTAGTTGTTCATTCACCGGAATCGCGTTGCCTCTAGGTTACCTACCCTGCAAAATATACCTAATCCAGATTATACGACTAATCGAGACACCTTATCATAACATGCTTAGTCGTCAGATGTTATCGAAGCTACGAATCAGGTGACCGGCAGAGACAACACGCCTTCAATACTTCTGGATTGTATGCTCGAGCTCCGTACCATCTCGATTCCTTCCCCAACCGACCCCTACACCCGACATTCCGGTGTAGGGGTCGGTTGCGCCTTCCCCAGCATGATCTCAAGCGCCCTATAGGCAATCGAGGAAGGTGCCCGTGGAATCCTAGTACGAGGCTTTCCACATGGCTTTGAAAAGTCTACCGAGAAAGTACTGGTAGGAACATTCAGGAGTCTGCTTTGGATGCTATCGCTGCAATTTGGCTTTCATTAACTCGTACATACATGGCATTCAAGATGACAAGTCAGATCCAGGATCAACACCAAATGCTGATCGCCGAACAACCAACATATCTTCAGCACAACCTAAGTCGCTTCGTCTTCAATAAGTGGCTGTCCTCCACAAATAATCGTCTTTTCATTTGCGGCTTCACCGTGCGTGACAACTACAGGCTTCCCGCCCTTTTCGATAGGGGCCCTGTCGCGGCGGTTCTCGAAGATGTTC